CCAGCGCTCCAAGAACCACTATCAGAAAAGAGCTTATCAATGTATAAAGTGCATGGTGGCTCTCTTTAGCAACTGTTCTGTTGCATACCAAATACTGCAGGTAATTATGCTGCTCTAGCCTTTTATGTGATTTGTAGCGTTTTGTTTTCCGGGGCCAGTAAAACTATATCTCTGTTTATATAATATGTATGCATGTATATTATATATTGTATTTTAATATACATATTATAGCATTGGCAAACTGCATGCTTTTTCAATACACTTTTTGATTCATAAATCTATGAATTGTAGTGAGCAAAAATACTAGGGTTATTGACTGAATTGACAGATTTTAGAGTGTCATAAGGTGTAATGTCTGCTATTTTGCGCAGTTTTTTTCCTGTTTTGCTATTTTAGAATAAAATTTTAAATTCAACTTGAATTTTGAATAATTTACGATTTAGTGATTAAACCTGTCTGAATTACCAGTTCGATTAACGTTGTTTCTTTGCTTCGTGATTTTCACCCCTTTGTTAGATTATCTTGAATGCTGATTTTAAATTATTTGGACTAATATGTCAGACAGATCTTGAACTACATTGACTTTTTTGGTGTTCTCCCACAGAGTAATGGAGATTTGAAAAGAAAATGGACCTGGGCAGTAGAGTGGTTAGGTGATGAACTGGAGCGTAGGCCATACACTGGCAATCCACAGTACACCTACAACAACTGGTCGCCCCCAGTACAAAGCAATGAAACATCAAATGGCTACTTTTTGGAGAGATCACACAGTGCTAGGATGACTCTTGCGAAGGCTTGTGAGCTATGCCCAGAGGAGGTATAAACTTCATTTTTTTTATTTTTTTTATGATAGTTTTTGTGATTTATGTGCCAGATATACTATATTTAAACATATTCTGTTAAATTCTCATATTGCAAACTTAAATTAAAGAGAGAGAACAATATATATTTGTTCTTCCTAGGTATATTTCTGATTTGATAAATGTAACTTGATCAGCTATTTGTAGCAACATGTATTACATCCACTTTTGTCCAAAACATTTTGACAGTGTCATTTATTTCATTAAATGTTAACCCTTGATATCACATTACAATGGTAAGCCATTCTTCAATTGGAAATTTAACTATGTGCCCCTTTCTTCAAGTGTAAGATAATTTAGCATCAAAAGTTAGCAAAACACTTTAGATTCTCCACTATGGACGCCAACTTATGCTGGGTGCTTACATGGGGCACGATGAATCTGAATTGCAAACCCATTGACAACCCACAGAAGTAGCATGGGAACTAAATTAAAATTTGTATTTTAACAGTTTCAACCATTTTGTGTTGCATATAGGATATTTCATTGTGACCTGATTCATTTCACATTTGTAATTGTTCCTACAAAAGTATTAAAGGCACAAAGTAGGCCCTTTAACAACTTAATTTTATTGAAGTCGTCAAAGTGCTGCCCTCCATCTCCTACCCCAAACCCTGTTGTAACCCAGCTAGAGTGCTTGGAAGCACGCCTCCAAGTCTTCTGGGTATGATAGTTGTACCTGGCTTTTATACCGTAACACACAGTGAGAACACACGTGCCTGTGCAGTGCCATCACAGTCTGCCATAGAGAATCATTCTATTATATGATGCTCTATGGCAGAATCTTAGGATCATTGTGGTAAACGATGCAAATGCACCATAGGTTCCCAATGCTCCTCTATGGGGAGCATTGGATTGCCCTATAATCCTGGAGACACGCCTCTAGGATTACATAACTTTAGAGACACGCCTCTAGGATTACATAACTTGAGACGGTCAGAGGTGATTTGGTTTCATTTTTACTTTTATACAGGGGATGGGGAGGGGTGCAAAATGACTGGGTGCCTCACAGTTGTAGTTTTAGAAAAACAAATATGTATTCCTAACTCTACAGTGTTCCTTTAAATAAAATGGGAAAAACATTTTGCAACTTTCTAATTGACTTGATGTGGTGAGAATTCATATACTAACACATAACTATATATTTTTTTCCCCACCTTAACATCTGTCAAGCTAAGCGTGGCTCATAGAGAGAGGAACTGTTCTGACACTTCTGCTGTACCAATTTTGCTAATTATTTTCTAATGACTTTTTGTCTGGTTTTTAGGCTTGTTTTAATTTGTTTTAAGCACATCAATAATCTGCTGTAAAATAAAATGTAAACTACTTATGGCATGGCTTTTGAGAATGCAATATAAGGGAAAGAAATTCTGGATTATTTTTTAGTTATTCTATTTTGTGGTTCCATATAACTACATGTTATACAAATATTCATGCTAGGTCTAATTTCATTAAGACTCTGTCTTTACATAAATTATGAACACTATTTCTTTGTCATTAAAGCACCACTTTGGGTGCTGAAAACTGACCTACCAGACCCTTTTTATTTTTTTTTTGTATAGTTATTTCCTGCCTGTCATTGACATGTATGTAACAAGATGTGCAGGAGAAATTAGAATTGTGGAAATTGTGAGTGCAAGTTACACACGTGCAGAAATATATTTTGAGAAACATTATTAAAAATGCATTGTTTAAAGAGTATTTTAGCAATTGATGATTTGTTACTAGTTTTGCTCATGCAGTCAAACAGAGTCAAATTTTGCAAATGTGTATATGACAAAGTTCGACTCTTGAAACTTTATAGGAGCCAGATGACCAAGATGCCCCTGAGGAACATGAATCCTCCCCTCCTGAAGATGCCCCATTGTATCCCCATTCACCTGGTTCCCAATATCAACAGGTATTCATCAAATTGTTTTTTATTGTACTACTAGTTTTTATTTATTTTATTTATTTATTTTGTGGGGGGGGTTGGGTGTGTTTTCTTGTTTTTGTTTGGTGTCATTTTTGTCTGAATGTTGAATCCCAAGACTGCTTTGATTCAACAATGTAAACCCACTTATTGAAGTTCTTGAACAAAGTTTAGTTTAGTATAACAAATAAGTTGGACATGTCAATTCTGACTGATTGCAATAAAAGGAATTATTTACCCTTTTTGCATGTACTTTTTTATGGAAAAGGGCAAAAAAGTAATCTGTGCCTAGCGCTTGCCTAGTGGATAAATAATGTATAGATAATGTTCTTTATTGCAGGGCTTAAAAGGCCAAGTCATACTTCTCTAGCTAGGCCTTGCCACTGCAAGCCTGGAGGGTCCATAGCACATGTCGAGGATTAGCTTCTCACCTAGGCTAAATGTTCATTGGTAGTGGTTAATTGATTTTGTGATCCTTGTTTACTGTGTAATTAAATTTGGAAATTTTCTGTCCGTTTCCTAGAACAATGTACAAGTTTGCTCTTTTGTTTTTGTGTGTTTCCTCTTCTCTTCCATTTTCTGAATTTGGACAGGTTAACTTAAGTTATGCTATGGTATTTCCCTATCTGTTATAAGCTATATTTAGGAAAGATGCAAGTTGGTGTTAGTTTATCCACATTGTTCTTGCAATGTCAATAAACTGCCATCTAGACATTTGAGATTTGCTATGTTCAGTGTTGCAAGTGTGGGCAAATGCTCTCTCATTTCCCAACAGAGACTATATATTTTTGAAATTCTGTTTAATCTATACATTGGCTGGTGATATTTCCAACACCGTGTGTGTGTATATCATATTAATTTATTTTTTCTATTTACGATGTCGTGAAAGCCCAGGCATTCATTTATATATTTTGATTAGTCCCATATTCTTGCGTTTTTGGAAACTTCTGTGTCAAATGAAGCCAATGATTGTCAGAGTACATGAACACTACTTTAGTATTGTTTTTAAATATTTTACATCGAAGTTATAAAAATATCTGTTTAGATTATCAGATACCTAAACAAACACAGGTCAGTAGGTTTTCATTTCATGTACAAATGGTTATTATTCATTGTATATAGTTATACATTTTCCCCTGCATGTTTGAGCTGTACATATAAATTGCCGTTTTGAAATGTCATAACTTAAATTTAAACCCACATGGTTAATGCAGTTTTAATTAATCATACAACTAAGTATTACCAAGAGATCAATAACTGCACGCATATAGCATATAACCTTTGCTAAAAGTAAATTTTAATGTTGCAGTTAAGATTTTTATTGTCTACAGTAGAAACAGATTCCATATTTGCTCTATTGGTACATGTAAAGGGCTCCATGTCATTTTTGTATTACTGAATTACTGCAATGGAAAATAATTACTCCTGTAATGAGCTGTTTTTTTGTTTTTTGTTTTTTTTCGCTTTTATATTTCAGAATAACCATTTGCATGGACAGCCATATACTGGCCCAGCAGCACATCACATGAACAATCCTCAGAGGACAGGCACACGAGCACAAGAAGAATTTGAAGGCAGTGAAGAAGTTCCCCTGATTCAAACAAAAGATTAGTGACATACACATAATCATTTTACTTAACTCCTCCGAGACTCTGCACCCAGGCCTTACAGTCCAACCTTCCTTTGTGTCTGGCTAATATTTAAAACTAGAAACAAGAAAAAAAAATACCACAAAAGAAAACTATTCCTAATCAACTTGGAGTGGAGCGTCTATTCACTGTCTTATCTGCAGAAACTTGCTGTCAATATATAACCGCCTGCAGTGGAAAGTGTATAGTGTTTTGTAATAAACGGCCTGATGCTAATGTGTAAATGGCAAAGGTGTACATAGTATATTAATGTTTGACTGTTAATTCTTAAGCAAGACTTTTTTTTATTTTATTTTTTATTTTTCAATTTTTGTTTCCATATATATTTTTTTTTTGTTTTATTTGGGGCTCAATGAGATTCTCAAAACAAGCAAAACATGAAAAAAATCCCTGTAGTTTTTTGAACGTGCTTTTCATATTTACAACGCACAGAAGCAAATCAATTCTACACCAACCACAGAACTAGTCCATAAAAAAAACTTTATATATATATATATATATATATATATATAATATATATATATATATATATATATATATATATATATATATATATATATATATATATATATATATATATATATATAAAAATTTTCTTTTCTACACGGAGCAACCTGATGGCTATGAAGTTATAATCGTTTGGTTGATGTGGACAAATGGTGATGTAAAATTTTGTTTCTAGGTTTCCTTTCTTTGCCTTCATCATACAAGTATTTGTTTAAACCTTTCAAACATAAACATCTTGTTATGCTGTAAGATATAGCATGGCTTCACACCACATAGTGTAGCCAGACAATAAGGGGTCTTGGGAGGGTTGGTGAGGAGGATGTACCATGATTTCAAACAGTTGCACTGTTCAGGGATTTTTTTGATGGGGGTGGGGGGGGGTGTTAAAGTGGTTATTTTGTGTGTGTTTTTATTTTGTTTTGGGGTTTATTTTTTATTCTTTTTTTTTTTTTTTTTTTTTTTTTTTTTTGTTTTGTTCTTTTTGTTAGATTTTGTCTGAAATGGGAAAAGATGATAAAACATAAAATTGATTGAGTTGCACATGTTCCCATTTGTAATATTTGAGAATTGCCTGTGGGTGGGATACAGAACACTTCAGTAGCTTCAATAATTAATATAATAAGGGGGAAAGTAATATAAATAAAAAAGAGAACACAAATATGCAAACATTTGCTATGCCAGAATCTCTGAAGCATAGTTGAAACGGTATTGTGTGTGCTTGTTTTTGTTCATTTGGTAAAGCTTATTCTAGAGACATCCTTCACTTTTCCTTCTTCCACAGCTCAATAAAGTTGGAGGTCTATGACAATACATTATACTTGTGAATACCATTGCCAGGGTCAAGTTTGGTGGTATTTGCAATGGAAAACCGCTCTACTTGAAATTAGAATTGGCCTGTAATCCTTATTGCATTCTATAATATTTAATACTAGAACTAGGGTCTGAATATAAGATATTACTACTGGCTAGTCAAATACAGTTCATCAGTAAACGGTGTCCAGGATGTTTTATTAATTTCCAGAAAAAAACATCAGTAAATACTGTATTTAAAAAAAAAAAAAAAAAAAAATTGGTAACTTGAATGTGTGTATTTTTTGGAAACTGTCTTAAAAAAAAAAAAAAAAAAAAAGAGAGAGAAACCAAATACCCCTGCAAAACAGATACAGCCCACCCTATAATATTTAAATATTTTGCTGTTTTATTTTATAGAAATTATTTTGCTGAATTCACAAATAGAATTTGATTTAAGAAGAAATAAATTGTTCTGTTGTGTGTTCTTTATTGCACATGTAGACGCATGTTTTATCGTCTGATGACAGATGATTTGTATAAATACAGGTTAACCATTGTGCTACTCTTGCTGGTCTAGAACTATCGTTGACATCTTTATTTTCCCAAAAAGCTATACCCACACGCTGCCTGAGGAAATTAATTGAATCACCGATGTAAATTCCTGTTGGAACCACTTTGGTTTATTAAATACTTTCCTCTGGTTTGCCAGCTAATGTTATATTCATGTTTTGCCAGTAACCTGCAACAGCATATGGAAACTGGTAGCTTATCGGTAGGCTGAAGTAGTAGCTATTTATGCGTGATATCCCTACTTATCTGTAGACCGCTGCTTGGGGTAGAATGATGAAAGTTAAAGCAGCTATAAAACAAAATAATAATTTTCTCAGAAGTAAAGGTTGCTGCTATATTTGCCAGTTTCGTTAATTATTTTGATTCTGTATGTATTGTTTCTTGAGGTGTGTTTGTGTACACACATATACTAATATATCTCCTGCTTCAAACTAATAAGAGCAATAATTTACAAGTAATTTAAGTGACTTTAGTTGGAGTAACATTTAAGCTTGTTTTTTGTTTTTATCGTGTGTATTTAAATTATTTTCCTGTTAATCAAAATTTTATTTTATTTTTTTATTGAAGGGAGTGGTGTCAGTGTTAATGTGTACAGAATCAACCACAAATATACAAAGGGTCTATATTTACCTCTTTATCATTTAGGTAAAACTATATTCAGATGGTGTGTCTACATATTACATTAACTATAGTAAGCTGTGCATACGGGAAACTGGCAAATGGTTTACATTTCTTTGAGGGAAACTCATTTGAAGTCTACTTGAGACTTCTGTGTAATATAAATAGAGGAGAAATGGAAAACCACACAACACTAGTATATACTGATGATAATATAAGAAAACAACCTGGTATATGGAGAAAATAACACCACTGGTAAAGTATTTCCAGAATAAGGTAGAGAGCCAAGAACAAAAAGTTAGACCATACATAGCATTCTGTGAGGAAAAAGTATGTCCCATACTGAGGACGAAACGCGTTGGATGACCTAGGACACTTTACATCTGCATTGCTTTTTCAGTTTATTTTATTTATTTTCTTTGGTATGTGTGTGTTTTTTTTTTTTGTTTTTTTTTCATTCATTGGGCTGTGTATACTGTTTAAGAAACAGATCCTTCCACACTGTACGACCTATGTGGAGACATGCCTGTTTACTCCTTTTAACTGTAAGTGCAATACAATAAATCTTTATTTTCCTTACTTCACGATTGTGGATATATTTTACTCTACATATGAACATCTGATATTTACTACAAGAAGAATCCTGACGTTTCTCTTCTACATACCCCAGTGGGGTGATAAGCACATAATCCGCTTCCGTTTGAGTGCTATACCTACCACTTACGGGTTGTTTTCCTTTTTCTCACAGAATTATGCTATGTATGGTCTGTACATTTTTGTTCTATACTCTCTACCTTATTCTGGAAATACTTTACCAGTGGTGGTATTTTCTCCATATACCAAGTTGTTTTCTTATATTATCAGTATATATTCGTGTTGTGTGGTTTTCCATTTCTCCTCTATTTATAGTCTATTTGGTGTATTTGTGAGATACTCTAGGAAGATCATTTTCACCAGTGTCTTTTTCACTTCTAGTGTTTTCTGGGCTTTTGTTCATACTTCTGTGTAATAAACCCTATATAACGTTTGTAGATAGGTAGTAGCAATTACTGAAATTTTTGAAGTAATTTTTATCTTTAACGACAACTGTTGTCGGTTTTTCTCATGTATTATTGATACATATTTTTTACGGTGTATATTGGTTCTTATTTTTAGAATTTTGTTTTGTTTTTTTTGGGCTGAGCAGCCATGTTGGGTCAGAATCTGTTATCTGGCCAACTGTTGCTCAACCTAACTTGCCTGCTAAGGCAGGTGCACACAGAGCAATCTCGGCAAGCAGGTTAGGTTGAGCAGTAGTTTGTGAAATAACAGTGGAGTCTGACCCAACATGACTGAGAAAATTTCACTTTATCTGGCTGAGCAAAGATCAAATCTACTCATTTCATTTAAAAACAATTAAATGTAACAAATGTTTTTAAAAGCTAACATTTGATGACCATTGCCCTGTAACTGGCCTTGGAACAGCAATGCTAGCATTACCAGATCACCATGTTTTCAGGGTCACACATAACTGTCACATTTATGAAAAGGGCTGCCCTGCAGTATGTATAATGCATATTATGCAGGATTCTTCATGGCCTAATTACTTAATCTTGTACACTTTCTTCTGAATTCTGCATACTGCTGGGAAACCCTTTCCCTGTGCTACCCATCAACATGTATGTGATGTGTGTCCCTGAAAACATAGTGGATATGGTAACCCTATCTACAACACTCATAACATGCAAAATGTATGAATCAAATGCATTGATGTTTCTTGTTGCATCTTTGCCAATGGTCCATGATCACAAATTTACTTTTTTAGGTTGTTTTGTAGACTTTGCCCCAAGCCTTGCCATTACGCTGGGATGTGCTGCTTTGATTAATCATTCCGGAAATATCGGTCTACTGCTACCTGTGGAATGGATAGTAGCAATTTATGAATATTAGTCAGAAATTATATTTGATGAAAGGTTAGTGTAGGCATAAAACTTTCCTAAATATGCCACTTTTGAAATGATAAACTTCAGAAAAAAACTATATTGAAGGTTTCTGCTTCATTAAAAAAATTTTTTTCCAGAGGCAAACACTATAGGGTCAAGAAGACATGTATTCTTGACCCTTTTTAAAATCAAGCCCAGTCATAGGCAACCTTCGGCACTACACTTCTATGATGCTTTGCCAGCATTATGGGGGGTGTAGTCCACAGCTGGAGTGCCGAAGGTTGCCTATCCCGGATTCTAACTCCTTCCTACCTTTATCTAGTCTGCTGCTGTTGCCTTTCTCACTGATCTGCCTACTTGCCTGAAATAATTGTGTGGATCAGACATTCACAATACTTTCCTATAGGGACAGTATTGTATTGGCTGAGACTGCCAAGGAGGCAGAATAGGGGCAGAGCCAGCACAAGCCAAACATAGCCCTGTCCAATCAGCATCTCTTGTTAAAGATGCATTGAATCAATGTATCTCTAAATGAGGACATTTCAGTGTTTTCAAGCAGAGTGTGGAGAACTTCCCTCTAGTAGTCATCTGAGGAGTGTCCAGTATCATTAGGCTGTAATGTAAACACAGCTTTTTCTCTGAAAAGACCGTTTTTACTGCAAAAAGCAGGCAGCGGTTGAATATACACACCAGAATAAATACAATAAGCTGTAGTTCTAGTAACTATAGTGTCCTTTTAACATATGCAATATTCCTGGTAATTTTTTTTTTGGTCAGGGAGTGTTTTATTGGAAAGAGGGGAAGGTCATGTGGTGGAGTAAAGGCAGGGTGATATTGAGGGTATTTCACTAAATCTTGAATTGTTGCAGAATCTCAATGGAATTGAAAAGTATAGGTCACACAAGCTGAATAGAATTCTCTATTAGGCAGTTTAAACTTAAAGTATGCAATTCCTTGGTGAAAAAATATGCAGCTGTAAGTAAACAAAGGGTAGATTATGTTCTCTTAATTTATTTTTTTGTTCCCCTCTCTGTGCTCAACTTGCTATTTGCAGTCATACACGGTTTCTTCCCTTTTCATTGGATGGACAAACTGCCAGGATAGGTTTCATTCTTTGGCATATTTTGATTTTCTCTTTAAAGATGCAGTCATGGTGCTAAAAGTGATTTATGTATTTAATGGGGAGCAGGGGCTCAAAGATCAAATACAAGGGTGAAATGTACTTTTTAAGACTGGTGTATTCCCTTTTTATATATATATATATATATATATATATATATATATATATATATATATATATATATATATATATATATATATATATATATAATTACTTTAGTGAAATTAGGCAATGTCTAGAAGGCGTGTGGGCTCTACAGATATTTCTGCAGGGCAAGTCAACAGGAAACATGAGGACTTCGAAGATTTACTTGTGTTTTAACATTGTCACTGTATTCTGCAGGGTTAAAAAAAAAAAAAAAAGCACTGTTTCATATAAAGCACAAAGACTCTTGTCTTGTATGTCTCCAAATATTTGAAATATATACACTGCTGCCATTTTTATGGATCCATGGCTGTTGGATCCACATTAATATAACTTCCTATCATGAAATTTCTCTACATGTACAAACACTTTCCTAATCTAGGCACTCCACCCCATTGTTGTCGATACTAGAGTAATATGTGCAACAACAGCACTGCAGTTGCTGTGATGGAAAGCAGGAAAAGCGCCTCTTGCAGATCACTATCTCACTCTTTGTATTCCTAATGCTTTAGTGCTTTTTGTCCCTATCTTAAAACAAGTGTTTCCCACCTAAACACCCATATAAGCTAAATAACTTCATTTAGTGCTGCTTACATGTTTGCCTTTTACGAGATCATTGAGGCAGCATGGCTTCCCCTGCCAATGTGTAATTCCTTTTCATAAAGGAGCATTGGGGATCCCATGAGCTGCACACATACCCAAGCTAGAAAAACATGGTGTTCAATCCTCCTCTTGTGGCTGTCAGTGTGACAGAACCCTGTAATATAAAGATTGCAGTTTGTTAAAAACCACAGTGGTTTACATTGCAGGGTTACAAGGGCAGTGCCATTTCATTGCGACAAAGTGGCGGTGATTCTAGTGGCCCTTTAACCATTACAGACACACTTAAGAGTTTATGTTGTAAATACACCAGCAGAGATTATGCCCCCTAAAATATACAATGCATCAAGTGTGTTAGGTGTAGCAAGATTCTATGTAGTTATAGGGGCCGAGGTGGGGGTGGAAGTAAAGTACACCCTCTATAAATTCTTTGATTTTACATATCGGGACATAATCATCTGTTCTGTAGCAGATATTAAAATTTAGGTAAAGACAACCTCAAATCAACAACACATGATGTATTACACCATGTCATGATTTAACAAAAAGAAAACCAAATTAGTGCCTCCACAGAAAGTAAAAGGTTAAGTTGCAGATAGGTGCTGCTTACTGAAGCCTTAGATTAATTCATCAGCAAATGTGACCACCGTTTCAAAAGCTGACATTTTAGCAGTTTGTTGGTCTGACTCTGGAGTATTCAGATGTGTGCTAACACAATCCCAAGGATGCCAAAGATCAACAATGATCTTAGAGAAAGGTAAATCAAAAATGGAGAAAATTCAAGGCAATTGCCAATCTTCCCACAAGCGGACATCCCAGAAAATTCACCCCAAGGTCAGACCTTGCAATGCTCAGAGAAATTGCAAAAAAGAGTTACATCTCAGACTCTACAAGCCTCAGCATGTTAAAGAAAAAGACTGAACAAGTATGATTTGTTTGGAAGGGTTACCAGAAGAAGGCTGCACGGCTTAGATTTGCAAACTGGCATCTAAACAATCCACAAGACTAAAGCAATGTCCTTTAGACAGACGAGCAAAGTGGAGATGTTTGGGCATAACGCACAGCACCACGACTGGCAAAAACCAAACACATCATATCAGTACAAACACCTCATTCCAACTATCAAGTACGGTGGTGGAGGGGTGATGATTTTGTCTTGTTCTGCAGTCACAGTACTTGGGAACCTTGCTGTCATTGAGTCTTTCATGTACTCATCTGTATACAAAATTGAGGCTGTCTATCCGACTGCTCAAGCTTCGGTGAAATTGGGTCATGCAACAAGACGATCCCAAGCACACCAGTAAAGCTACAAGAGAATGGCTGAAAAAGCAAAGAATCAATGTGTTGCAATGGTTCAGTCAAAGTCCAGACCTCAATCCAACTGAAATGCTGTGGCAGGACCTTAAAGGAACACTATCGGGTCAGGAACACAAACATGTATTCCTGACCCTATAGTGTTAAAACCACCATCTAGCCCCCTTGACCCCATCTTGCCTCCCTAAATATAGTACAATATTACTTGTTTTCAAGTCTGAAGTTGCTGTGTCTGCCCCTGACCTGCCTGCTGACAGCATCAGAAGTGGTGGTCTGAGCCAATCACAATGCTTCCCTTATAGGATTGGCTGAGACTGTCAATGAGGCAGATCACGGGCCGAGCCAGCACAAGTCAAACAAAGCCCTGGCCAATCAGCATCTCCTCATCGAGATTAAACGAACCAATGCTTCTTTATGAGGAAAGTTCAGTGTCTCAATGCAGAGGGTGGAGACACTGAATGGCAGTCGCCCTGTGCAGCACTGCGCCAGGAAGCCCCTTTAGTAGCCGTCTGAGGAGTGGCCAGTGGAGGCAGCCCTAGGCTGTAATGTAAACACATTCAAAAAGCCTGAAGGGAATGATTCTACTCACCAGAACAAATTCAATAAGCTGTAGTTGTTCTGGTGACTATAGTGTCCCTTTTAAGAGTGATGTGCATAAACAAATTAGTTACAAACTGTTATAATAATTTGTTGTTGCAGATAGCTGAGTTCATGATAATGCAGGCACAAACTTAAAGGGACTCTCCAGTGCCAGGAAAACAAACCGCTTCCTGGCACTGCAGGTCCCCTCTCACCTCCTATCCCAGGTTGCTGAGGGGGTTAAAAACCCTTCAGTGACTTACCTGTATCCAGCGCCGATGTCCCTCGGCGCTGGGTCAGGCTCCGGCAACTCTCCTCCCCCACCGTCAGCTGGCAGGGGAGACCTAATGCACATTGCTGCGCATGTATTACACCGCCCATAGAAAAGCATTATTCAATGCTTCCCTATGGGGATTCCGGCGATGATAGAGGTCCTCATGCATTGCGTGAGGACATCCAGCATCTCTTAAAACACTAAAAGTGTTGTAAGAACTCGGAAGCTCCTTAACCCTGTTAGGCAATTAGTGCAGTTTATGAAAAACTGCACTAATTACACTTGCAGGGTTAAGGGTAGTGGGATTTGGCACCCAGACCACTCCAATGGGCAGGAGTGGTCTGGGTGCCTGGAGAGTCCCTTTAAGTATTCATATGGGAGGCCTGATTACTTAGGAGAAAGTACACCTAAATTGTGTTCCATTGCTTTAGGGCAATTAAGATGACTCAGATTGCTGAGAATGGGAATGAAGCTACTTAATTAATTCTGAAATATTGGAGGCAGTGCTTGCAAAGCCATAAGATTTAAAATGTAGCCTAAAAATTTCCCGTGGCAGTTACATTGTTACAGACAAATCTAGTGAGTGGCTGATTCAATTTCTAGAGCATTTGATAAAACGCAAGTGCAATATTCACATAATGGGGGCTTCTCTTTGGAACAGGGAATAGGCCATAACGTTGTTAATGTCCACAATAGCCTGCTGATAACTAATAGCATGTAATTAGCTGCAGAGTAGTATAGAGGGCTGAATCATGGCCTGCTGGGATCACATCATTATAGGCCTTGAATGCACTTGTGTAGAATTAGGCATTTCAGGCTCCTATGATTAGAAAACAACTGTTACACCCATTGTACAGCGCTACGGAATCTGATGGTGCTATATAAATAATAATAATATGCTGTATTTTCAGGGGTAATTCTTTTTTACTTATTTTTAAGCTTACACATCACTTGTATGTATATTATCCCCCCACCCCTGTGAGAGGAGGGCAGGCATGTCATGATGTGGTAGAGTGTGAGTGACACCATGGCTTAAAATAATAAAATCGTATTCCATACCTACTATAATTTTATTTTTCTGCCTATATTTCATGGTGTGATCATTTATGAGTTAGTGCCACATCAACTATTGAAAAAGGGGAAAATGTAAATAATGAATTATGATATAGAAGGGTCCACTTTCTTCAGTACTGGTGCAGCCATGGAAAGGAATTAACAATAAGTATGGAGTATATTTTCTATATTCCTAGCCAACCATACCGACATAACATATTGGTAATATCGTGGACACACATTACTCTTAGCGTGCTTGTAACTTGGTTTCGGGAGTAAAAGGGTTAAAGATCACAATTTGCCTGCACTAGATCTAAAATAATAAAAAAAAGTACCACTTAACAACTCCTACGCTTTACTCTGATATCAAAAAACTGCCACCATCAATTTATAAAATGGGTAAGTCTTGTATTGATTGTGGTTTGATTTGCAGTTTGCAAAATACAATTAAATCGGTCTTTTCATGTTTGTGAATTCAGTTAACAGTGCTCAAAGACAGAATTAGGTTGTGTCATAAATTCCATGAAACATTTGTTTGTATTTGTGATTCCATCTCTGTGTCCTGTGGTGCAGATGCAACCCTGAGAAGTATACAAAAATAGAAGCCCTTAATTGGGGGTGGGGAGGGTCCTAGATAGAATGACCAATACAGTAAAAAGGGGAGCCTTACCTTTATTGATTGTAGGGTAAATAAAAAAATGAGAGACTGAGATAAAAATGGGGGATGAGAAACTAAACCGTGCTCATGGGTTAAATGGGAAAAAAAAGTACTTTGTGTCAGGAGACTGAGTAAATATAGGAGCCTCTAACTATTACTCCAATGTCATGTTTACCCAAGAGCACTAGAAAAATTAAAACGTATAGGTAATTTAAAGGGACGCTATAGTAACCTGAACAACTTTAGCTTAATTAAGCGGTTTTGGTGTATAGAACATGCCCCTGCAGCCTCAATGCTCAATCCTCTGCCATTTAGGAGTTAAATCCCTTTGTTTATGAACCCTAGTCACACCTCCCTGCATGTGACTTGCACAACCTTCCATAAACACTTCCTGTAAAGAGAGCCCTATTTCGGCTTTCTTTATTGCAAGTTCTGTTTAATTAAGATTTTCTTATCCCCTGCTATGTTAATAGCTTGCTAGACCCTAAAAGAGCCTCCTGTATGTGATTAAAGTTCAATTTAGAGATTGAGATACAATTATTTAAGGTAAATTACATCTGTTTGAAAGTGAAACCAGTTTTTTTTTTTTCATGCAGGCTCTGTCAATCATAGCCAGGGAGGTGTGGCTAGGGCTGCATAAACAGAAACAAAGTGATTTAACTCCGATATGACAGTGAATTGAGCAGTGAAATTGCAGGGGAATGATCTATACACTAAAACTGCTTTATTTAGCTAAAGTAATTTAGGTGACTATAGTGTTCCTTTAAGAGTAGAGGTAAGGGTAGAGATGAGGATAGGGCTTCTGTTAAAGAAACCTTGGCCAGTAAAGACCTCAATGAATCTCTCCCTCAAAATACTTAAGCACCGTGGACAAGCCACTGATGCTTACCTAAACCATTTTAGAAATGAAACAAAGAAAAAACTACAAATAATCATAGTGCAAAATAAAGTGCTACCAAGTGTAGTGATGTGAAAGAATAGCTCAACGCGTGTTTTGGCGTGTCAGCACGCCGTCGTCAGGAGCGAATGAGTGAAGCTGGCTAGACCCTCAGTTTATATAGCCCTGCTAATTAATAAAATATTACTTACAGCTGTTCCTGTGTTTGATGTTTGCCAGAGGAGGGGGGTGTGTCATGTCTTTGGCACGTTCCTCATACAACCGGAATGATCGCCTCAAAGTGTTCCTAATTCTGATGTCTTGCTGGAGGGGAAAGATGGGGTGTGTCATGTCTTCGGCACACCCCTCAGGTATCCGGATTGGTCACCTAGGTTCAAAACCCACACGGGGCGATTCGCTCCGTCAATTAGACAGGTGTCAAATGCCAGAGGCACGCCCATCTGATGTCGTATTAAACCAATTCATAGGAGGGCGTGTCATCCCAAGAGCATGTCCCTCTAATGTCAGACTCAGCCGGCTCATGCGCCTGTACATGCTGGCCATACGGTAGACATCGGTTCCAAAGGCGAAGGGGTGTAGTGTTTAAGACGCACCTCTCTTATGTCCAAGTGGGTCGACTTGTAATGGATATGGGGTGGTTCATTACGTCTATATGGTGTTGAAATATTGAATTATAGATTATCCTACATCATCAATCTGTAATCTACCACCATTCACTGAGGTCATTGGTGGTCATGAGGAACACAAAAGAGGGAGAGGGAGAAGCATTTATTTACTTTCAAGGAACTGTCACTCAAATCCATATCAAAGCTGTGGTGTAACCAAAATAGACTTACAAAAACATGGTCTATTTGTGAAATAAATATTAGTTCAGGAAGCAGTGCAAAAAATAAGGGAAGCAGGGACGAGGGTTGGAGAAGGGGAGAAAAAGGGGACAATAATTAGCCGGATGTTCAGAAAATAATGACCATAGGCACTCTTTTAAAAATCCGCCAGCCCTTGATTCTTATCCGGGCTCCTGGACTGTACTCGTCTTATGAGAAGTACCCAAATTCTATTCCCAAGTGGTAAACTCCTCACACAACAAAAAGTACATAAGAAAACAAAATAAGCAGATGCAAAATCTAGTTTTTAAAATAAAATGGGATTTAACACACTAAACCTACACCAATGCAATTATCACTTAAAATCCTATAGTGGGCCAAGTAGGTGCTCCTAGTTCAAGTCCTGGCCAATGTTCAGAATAAAGTCCATGAGTTGTTCGGTTATATTTACGCAGTCACTCGAATGTGAATGCTGTCCCATATTACCCAATTACAGAACCCATGTGTTTCCAGATCCTCAGTGCTCCTTCACGCGCCCTCTGTGGTGATGCAGGAGTAGGAATATGATTTCACTCCGGCTGCGGCATTACTAAACAGTGTGAGGGAGTAGTGAGGAACTGGAAAATTGCAGGGAGACTTCCAGGGAGTGGACTCACACCAGCTGGCCTAATAAAATAGTACAATAAACAAAATTAATTTGCGAGTATGCGTACAAGAATGTGAGTGTGTTTCAAATCAGTAAGACTGTGTTGATCAGTGTGTATCTTTCAGTGAGTGTTTCAAATCAGTGAGATTTGAAACATTGTGCCAGTGTTTGTGTCTGTCAGTGTGTGTCAAATCAATGAGATTGTTGATTTGTTATTGAGAGTATGTTTGTGTGTGACTGTCAGTGAATGGTTCAAATCAGTGAGATTGTGTGTCTGTCATTGATAGTTTGTGGCAGTGTGTGTCAAATCAGTGAGAGTCAGACCCTTTCTAATTTTTTTTAAAAAAAGGATGAGGCTTATAGATTGAGTTGTTGCCAAAGAAACATGCATGTCTGTGCATTTGCAAAGAGAAGGAATTAGTAAGATGACCACCCCGATATAAATTTCTGCACGCAGGCCTCTGAGACACTAGGATCGGAGCTTGTCAATTCCTACAGATGTAGCAGTGATTTGTAATGAAAAGGTTTAATTTTCTGCCAGAGACAGAGACCAAGGAATTAGCCAGGTTAACTCCTGCAATGCTGGGACAGAATTGACAGGTAATGCTAGAGCTAATTAGGAAACTAAAGTACTAAACTCCAACAATGTTACATGTAATTTATTAAGTCAATAAAACTGCAGAAATTACTCCTGGCAAAACTTGATTACAGCCATCCTTTTAGATTCAATCAGTAATTTGGGAGAGTAGAAAGAGATGACTTCCTCACATGTTGTCTGTTGGTGTACCTATGCCACTGAAGTCCAAGATGTGTTTAGAAGACTTGTATTCCTTCTAAACAAATCGATTAGTCTGAAACAGGACCATTTGTTCTAGTTGGAATGGAGGAGCCGTTTTCATTTTCTTTGTGATTCAATTAGCTATTTTCCAGAAGATGCATGTAACAAATGGACAATGTCTGCTAATTAGTGATCTAGCACCATGTGCTATGATAGAAGGCAGTCTGAATACTTTGAGGAAATTGTTTTGTATAAGTGGGCTTAAGATGGGTAATTCAAGCACCAAAAACAGTACAGAGGACTGTAATGGTTATGGTTCAAAGAGGCCCCTGATGCCGTCCCACAGTAAGCTGTCAAACTGTTTGCCACATACCCAGCACTGTCGGATACCTACACTCCGTTCAGTGTGCACCTATTCGATAAAGCAGGAGTTAAAATTTCAGAATTAGTGTGCCATTATTGTCAACAGAACCAAAACATATAAAAATGTGCCCCTATCGAAATTTCACATCTGGAGTCAATTGTTCAAGACTTCTTCTTGATGATCTTTATTTTTGGCCAATAACTAAGGAACTTCCATGTTTTTAAGTATTGCTATTGAAGGGAAGCTGTACTTGGCTTTCTGCTCCCCCGTCCACCTGCGATCCCCTTCTGTTCTGATATGCCAACTTCCTCAAGGCTTAACAATTCATTGGTGATTGTGTTTTAATCTGGCTGGTTTCCAACAATGCGGCTGATTCCAATATGGCTGCCGTGTTATGTGAACTCTTCAAAGTTCTTGTGCATTCACATTGAACGTTGTCTCCAAACATTGTTTAATATCTCAAATGTGCAGTCATTTCCCAGGAAATCTAAAATGACAGCATTCTTTTTATTCTGTTTAATTCCTGCTCATTTCAAGTAGGAAATTGTTATGGTTTGTTTGTGAGCTTATTTTCTTGTTTTCATTTGTATGTTATTTATTGGTTTATTCTTCCATTAAAAGATTCGCCTTTTGAAGCTCTGGAAAAGATTGAATTATTTTCGCTTTCTCTTACAACCATTTCTAGTTGCCATTACCTCTGCTTGAAGGGTTTTTGAATTACAAGCTCTTTTGGCTAAGTAACCTCATACCGTAAAAACCAAAGGGAAAAAAAGGTACCTGCGCTCTCTCCGTAATCCCTATGTATATTTAAGAGCGCAGGTAACTTTTTACTATATGTATTAGCTGATGTGTACTGTAGTCATTGCTGCCACCCAGAAGTGATGGGAATGAGCGCAGGACTTTTCTTTTTGTATTTGTATCACACAGTTAGGTTACAATGCTGCCGCCCATCCCATGCGTTCCCTATTAATGGTTAACAAGTATATAGGGGTGTATACAAAATTTTTTTTTTTTTTTTTAAATACACCCCTTTCCTGTCTCACTAGAGATATTTTTGCCAGAAGCTCAAGGAAGCAAGGTAAAGGGTCAAAGTAGGACCAGTCTAGGGGGGTCTGCCTTGACGTTGGCAAGCGGGCATTCCCTCCAGTGGCCATTGGAGTAACTAAATGACCTCCATTTGTTTAAATATACATAGGGATTAAGGAGAGAGCGCAGGTAACCTCATACAGTGTTTCATCAGGATCAAGTAGTTTTAGTTGCCAAAACAGACTTCCTTTCCAAAGGAGTCTCTAAATTCCACCTCCAGCAGGATGTAGTGTTGCCTTCCTTCTTTCCCAATCCAGTCTCCACAAGAATGTGCATGGAGTAAACTTGAAGTGGTGAGATACCTCCGAATATTTTTGGAAAGATCAAATGCCTTCTGGAAATGTGAGACTTTTCATACTTCCTTCAAATACATGCATAGGGAAAGCAGCTTCCAAGGATTTTCACTGACCATTACCAAAACCATCACAGGGACTACCTGCTTCACCAAACATCAAGGCTCACTCCACGAGAGGATTGACTGCTTCCTGGGCAAAGGTGCCAGTTGAAGAGATATGTTTATCAAGGACAATAAGCTTGATCTTACTTCCTCAGACAATTCTAGTTTTGGTAGAAGTATTCTGGCCTCAGTGACTTTGCATAAATAATAGTGTTTTATTTTTGGTATCAGCTAAGGCTCTAGTTATTTGTTCCTTTTCCTCCCTTCTGTGGAGCTTGGGTAATACCCATGAGTGTTTAAAATCTATTTACATTTGTTGCATTTCCCCCAAACCTTTCCAAATAATGTCTAGCAGCCTTTAACTCTCTTGTGTTGAATATTTGTGTATAAGCTACCATAATCACAGGTGGGCATTAACATTCCTTTTTATATTACATGTGCATTGTAGAGTGACCAGCATCTGGGTTATCGTAATTTATTGCGATACCTTTTAGTTCCTGCATTTTAGCTTTTTTGGGGGGGAGGGTGATATTTTGTTATCACTAAATCATGTTTTTGAACACAACAGATTTTGGTGTACATAGTATGAAGCATTGAATTTGTATTATATCAGTCTTCCTCCATCTAAAATAAGATTTTAATTTTTTTAACAGAATCCTTTTCAGTTATTTAAATATTTGTTATTGGTACAAGACTATCAGGGTTATTCACTAAAGTGACAATCCAAGATTAAATTTTTAATTTAAAGTCAAAATATCCTAACTGGAAAAATTCTCAAAGTCAGCTATGTTTCCGTTCGGGCTTAAATTTGAAATTTACTTTGCATTCTCACTTTAGTGAATAATGCTGTATGTTAAAGCAAACCTTCAGATGCTAGCAGTAACTAAGCTTTGTTTTCTTCTAATACACACTTCAATGATGACTTCTTGGGAACAGCATCACTAACCTGTAACTGATTTTTACCATTTAAATTCACAGACAACTGAGATTTTATACAATTTATTGTTATTTTGTGAAACAGTTTAGTTCTCCTTTTCCTGCACAGTCTTTGTACCACGCAGACGACCAGTACGACGAGCAGCAATAAGACCGACTTTACGACCAGCTGGAGCGTCTCTCCTAATGGTTGAGGGTTTACCAATGTGTTGATGGTTACCACCACCGAAGGGATGTTCAACAGGCTGTAAGGAAAACAAATAAGATTTTAACCACCATAGACAATAATTGAGAATTAGTGGTTCATACACATGGAATATTAAGAAAATGCCAGGAGGAGCCCCTACAAACTGCAGTGCTATCATATGACTTGTTTCACACATGAGTGACGTCAGGAACAACTGCTGTAATATCTGGCTGTCATAGCTGTAATCTTGCATATGTTCTAAACCTTTATAGGAGTACATTACTACTCATTGTGTCTGTAATCATTTTTCAGTGTTAAATATAAGAGAAATGTTTTTCAAATGTTGACTATGTAGGTCGATATTCCAAAAGCCAGTGATCAATTTTTGGCAATTTGTTATATAAAGACACAGTAGACATGACCGTAATTAGAGAATTTAATAAAATGTCTAAGATTATAGAACTTACATTCATAGCCACACCACGGACACGTGGCCAGCAGTTTCTCTTGGCCTTGTATTTATGGTAGGCACGACCTGCCTTTAGAATAGGTTTGTCAATACGACCACCTCCAGCAACAACCCCTGTATTAAAAAGAGAAGTTGTTAGTAAAATGCATTAAAGAGAAAAGAAAAACCAAACCCTAGAACAGATATAACTATACACAGTCAGGGAAATTTTTATTTTATAACACGCTGGGCAAGCCATAGCTACCAGGCAAGTGTGTAATGAGTACCACACTGCTTACAGGATTCTCAGTGCAGTTTGAAACCAGTATATAAACCATGGCTACAAGTATGCTATCTGCAGTCATCAGTGACATTAAAGTAATAGAGCAAGGCAAGCAGTTTATAGCTCTGTAGAAATTTGAAAAATATGTCCATCTGCCACCACCTTGAAAAACTTCTCAATGAGGAGTCTCTGATTAGTGTATTCACTGGTACAGACAAAGTGTGTCAGTGAAAGGCTTGCAAAGGCTACATCTTACACACAGTGGCACAAAGTGGCTGCAATAGATTCCAGGTGGGACATCGATATTGCGGTCCAGAAAAGTGCAACTATAGGAACAGCCAATATACTGCACAGTACACTTAGATTCAAAGGCCTCTGCTAGAGGATCCGAGAATGAGGAATACACAAAGAAAATACCACCTGGAGGGCGAGAAACTAATTTCATATTCTATGAGGGGTTAACTTTATTGTACCAGTTCCCCAACTTTAGTATGATTAACTTTTGAATCAGGTGTAATGTTACAGGAGGGTGTGCTTAGCAGTGGATAACAAATTTTACACCCAGCTGGCAGCCTAAGACGTAAAAATGAACATCACATAAAAATACACACATCACATAAAACGTTACAGAGGAAAATACAGATATGTATGCAAACACAGTTTAGAGCAGCTAGAAGCCCTGCATTTCAGAGAAAGTGGGTAACAAGAGCTGCATTGAGATATGGGAAAAGACTATTCTGCTCAAAACAAAAAGCCTATCAGAATAAAGCCAGAAGGCGGATCACAGTCAATGAACAGATCTCAACACCCTACTGTTCTAAAATGTGGAGCTCTTGGAGAAAAAGAACCAGTATCGAATAACATTTAGTCATACCTACAAGTAGTGTCAGTGTTGTGCTTAGAATGCCCCTTTAATTTAAAGTGAACCTGTCAGTTTAATTTTAACATCAACCTCAAATGCATTGAACACATCATGTATAACAGCCTCACATGAGGAGATCAATGTAATACTGAGCTAAAACCTCACAGCTGATCCAGTGCCAGGTCCTAACCTTTGTAGGTGCTTGAAAAGCAGAAGGACTGCTTGTGGGTGGTCTCTTCTGCTTTCTGTGTCACTGAAATCTTTGGCACAGAAGTAAATACAGACAGGTGGGAGAAAGATCTATTTTTTTCCCCCCACACACTCTATACACTTGCTAGCACAATGTACATATGTTTTTAAAGAACATGAAATTCAATAAGTGGTATCTAGAATGACAGGTACCACATTGTTTTGTCATCATATGTAAGAAAAGGCGAGAAAGAAATGTAACATTTCTTAAAGTATTTTATGTACCCACCAACAATTGCTCTGTTTGCAGAGGAGATGACCTTCTTAGATCCAGAAGGTAGCTTCACTCTGGTTTTCTTGGTTTCAGGATTGTGGGAGATGACAGTGGCATAGTTTCCAGATGCCCGGGCCAGCTTACCACGATCACCTGGTTTTTCTTCTACACAACACACAATGGTACCTTCTGGCATGGTGCCAACTGGTAGGACATTGCCGATGTTAAGCTGAGCTAAAAAAACAAAAAAAAAAAAAAAACACCACAAGCTTGAAACCATTACATTTTGCTCAAGGGAATAAATAAATTAAGGTACAGATGTTAGCAAAATTGGAGTAGAATGTTTAGACCCAAGAAAATGCATAGATTACTTTGAATATGCATACATTTTAGATATGCGTATAGCTGTTTAGGTCATACAACATACAAATATCAATCCATTGGGAAGTAAATATATTGTGGTGCTAAATTACTAAAATGTGTACAGTTTTATTCATACATTTTTTGTAAATCATTTGTGTGTTGTAATTTTAGGCAGATTCCAATTTACTACAAAAAAAAATAAAAAAAAAATAAATAGTTTTTAACTGGAGCCTCACAGACACACAAAAAACATTTCAGTGCATTCCAATTTGCAATATTGAGTGCTGGCACCACCCCCAAACAAAAAACTTGCTGAAATTGGAGTTAAGTGAATAACCCTGAAACTGGTCAACACTGAACTAAGCTGAAGAACCACACAAGAAAAATTTCTCTTTTCTATATATTATCCCTAAATAGCAAATTTCAATGGTGTACGTTAACAAGACATTCAACCGGGGGGGGCATGTTCTTATAATAATGCATTTTTCCCCATTGGGCTTATAACTATACAAAACAAAAAGAGGACACGCAGCAGTTCAGCAAAGCTAAAGTGCTGTATGTATTGAGGTGTTCCTTAGAGTCTAGTGGGACTTTAAGAACTGCAAATATTACTTGCAAAAGAAAACATTTATATAATCTAGTAAAACTAAAAAAAGTTTGTTTTAAATGCTTAATGTACCTTTCTTGCCACAGTACACAAATTGTCCAGTATGGATACCCTCTGCTGCAACAAACAGCTCAGTCCTCTTCTTGAACCTGTAAGGGTCACGGAAGGCAACCTTGGCAAGAGGTGCACCACGACCTGGATCATGGATAATGTCCTGAAACAGAAAAAGATTTAGCAATGGGGGATTTGAACGATAATTACCCCTTAATTATTTACCAAAAAGCCATTTAAGTTACACAACTACATAAGGGTCTAAAAATCTGTTTTGCAAATTCTGCTCAATTCTCACTCATTTGGTTGTCAACATTCATCTTTCGGTCACTGTCTTCAATGACAACTGATTCGATCTCATTACTGCAGTGAGATGACGTTTTAAAAAAAAAAAAATGCAGAAATTGGTTGACATACAGGGGAGGTGTTTTGGATTCAATTATCTTGGTCTGTAATGGGGGGCTGAAACTGAACAGCCAAATCACACGTGTTATATTGACATTTGGCTAATTCAACAGGCAACCAAACATCGCTTGAATTAACCAAATGTATTTTTCGTGAATTGTGATAGATTAAAGTTGCAGAATTAGGACAAACAGCATGTTACAACTATGTATTTACAGCATGTGACATTTTTATCAGCTATAGTGGTTATGCTGCTGAGAATGCCCCGGCACCAACTATGGCCAATACAGGGCGGTGCGGATTGGCTCACAGTGCTCAAATGACACTCTCAGGCAAGGAGGATCCAGCAGGAGAATCCCAGAAACAGGGGTTGTGGCTGTGGGAGACCCAGATAAACTGTCAAACTGTTTGCCAAGCTACAGTGAGACTGCAGCAGGGTACTCGAAGTGTTCCTTTCAGCAATGATTGCAGCTGACAGTGTGCACTGACAGCACAAGACAGTCTCACCATTTAGTCTGCATTTGAACACACACCTATCAAAACATAATGTAACAATACTTTAAGGAAAGCAAGTGGTGAATTAAAACACTGTGCCATTAAGAAAATATATTTTTAACTCACTTTTACAATACCCTTGATGTAGCCGTGTCTTTCAGCAAAGTCGATGGATCTGAGTTTAGCAGCGCCTTTTCTATGCTTCACATGTGCCTTGAAAACAGAGCCTGCACCCTTTCTCTGTCCCCTGATCACACGTCCCATTGTGAACTGGAAATTGAACAAAAAGAATCAAAACGTTACCACGTGCATAAAAATATACAACTGATCAGAAAAACGAAGAAATAAATGCAGTAGGTTTATGAAAACAACAGTACAAAGAAAGTATATAAAATCCTATAGGAGTTCTGAAAAACAAATACAGTGATCTGTCTTCTCTGACAGTTTGTTTTCTTGACCATTAATGGAACAACCACCATGGACTTTAGGGGTTTAAAACAAATCTGATTTATACAAAAAACAGCTGATGCAGTGTAGAGAAACAGATCAGATAGAACCTTGATTAATGTGAGAATGCCAAGTGACCAGAAGTAAAATTCTATAAATAATTGTACATGTTTAATGCTGCATTCTTCTGTTAGCATTAAATATGCTCAGGGAACAAGAGCTCATCGCTCAGGACATGTACTTATTGCACATCTCTCCAAATTGGCCGGCTTTAGGGCAGAGCCACAACGCCAACTAAAACAAGTCATTTCACCTTCTATTCTCACTAAATGGCTTTCATAAAATTATTGGAGGGAGACACACAATCTGTCCCTTACTAATAGGGGGCTTAATGAAGGCGGATGGCATAAAGAGACAGTGGATTGAATATGGATTGCATCGCGAGCGCAGCTGGCGAGCTCCTACCTAGGCCCGGGGTGTCCACGAAGAGGAAGTTCTCAGGCCCAGGCGAGGGATTTCTTCCGGAGAAAGCGGCGCAAAGGAGGCTGGGAATGTGACGTCACCCCGACCTTACAGCACGCTCTAGAGAAACAAACGGCACTTGAATGTTATGTCTCCATTCTCGGAGCCATTTTTATGGAGTCTGAGGTGTACTGAACTATTATTTATTTATAAAATGTTTTTACCAGAAATAGCTACTACAAATATTATTTGACAAGAATAAAATGAAAAAAGAAAGAAAAAAAAAAAAAGGGCAGGCTAACGATACAGTTTAATTTAATTGTTTGAAACCCAGCAGAGGCTTATACCCAGAACTGTGAGTTGTAGTGAAACGAAAACCAAATAGTAAAATTTAGAGAGGTAGGTTTATTCAGTAGAGAGGGTAAATTGTCAGGAATTCAAAGTGAATTTTAAATTTTAGGGCAAAATAAGCCAAATTCAAAAGTTAGTTAGGACTACCACCGAGGTTTTTTTTTTTTTTTTAGACTATGTGTCTTTTCGACACACAGGGTAATTTACTAAAGTCTGAATAGCTCCATATCAAATGGGGCAAACCCCTCTGGTGGTGCTCAGAGCTATTTGGAATGCAAAATCTCTGCATTGGTCACACTATTCAAGAATGTCCAGATTTTGCAGAGCACTCTCTGAATGAGCCTGAATTTGGTCCAGATTTCTGCTGGACTCAACATTTCCAGTTGTCAAAAATTTCCAAGTTCCAAACTATTTGTCCAAAAGCTTATTGGTGTCATTATTAGTATAAGTGAGCCCGGGCCGGACTGGGAAAAGGGGCGGTGCATAGAGGGTGTGTTTTGTCATCAAAGTGAGCATGTTGGTTCAATGCTCTTCCAGGGCAGATTATGCGCAGAGCTCTGCTGAAGAGCTCTAGTATGAGAAAAGGGTTCTGTGTTTGTTCTGCACGGTGCAAGCAAATTTAATAACATGCTTGCACTCTGTTTCCTTGCAGCCTGTCTCTGATGTCTCTATAAATGGGATACCAGGAGACAAAAGGGCCAGGAAAGAGTATTGTGCATATGTTTGGAGCCTGCTTGTGGGATTGCATGTGTGTACAGTGAGCAGATTGTGGTGTGGTATTGTATAATAAGGTCGGTTTTAGACGTGTTGTGTTTGTGGTGTAATGTAATACATGTGTGGCTAGGGGCGGTATAGAGTGTGTGCATAGGGGATGTAGCAAGTGTGTGCATACGGGCTATAGTGTGTGTGTATAGGTGATGTAGTGTTTGTAGGGGTTGTAAAGAGTGTGTGTTTAGGGAATGTAGTATGTGTTTGCTTACAAGGAATGTAGTATGTGTGTATAGGGGTCTAGTGTGTGTTTGAAGGACCCAGAATGTGTATAGGAGATCTAGTGAGTGTGTGTGTATATAGCAGATTCAGAGTGTGTATAGGGATCTAGTGTGTGTATGTGTGTAGATGATCTAGAGTTGGGTAAAAGATCTACTGTGTGTCTGGAATGTAATGTGTTCAGGGGTGCAGTATGTGTGTGAGGGGTGCTGTAGTGTGTTTGTATATATATATATATATATATATATATATATAGATATATGTTTGGAAGTATTGTGTGTGTGTGTGTGTGTGAGTGGTGCAGTGTGTTGGGGGGTTCTGTGTGTATGTGTGAGGGATGCAATGTGTGTGAGTGAAGTGTGTATGTGAGGGGTGCAGTGTGTGTGTGTGTGTGTGTGTGTGTGTGAGGGGTGCAGTGTGTGAGGGGTAAAGTGTGTGAGATGGATGCTGTGAGTGTGAGGGATGAAGTGTGTGTGTAAGGGTAATGAGTGTGTGTGTGTCTCCGAATCTCGCAAGAGGAATCCAGCAGAGCTGCAAGATAGAGCTCTGCCAGGTCCTCCTCTCTCTCTTTTCCCAGCCGCATGTCTGTGCAAGTGGGCCGGTGAGGGCGATCTTTGATCTCCCCACCGGCCCGTCATGAAATAGAGCAGGGCCGATGCTTGGATAGTGCGGGCCCTGCATGGACCACCCGGGGAGCTCCTGTGACCTCCCCTGTGGACCTCGGCCCATGGCCATCGTGGCCCACCAGGTATTTGCCCTGTGTGCCTGATGGCCAGTCCGTGTCAGGACGAACTAGTGGCGCAACACGCAGAATTAGGTAAAACATGTAACAAATACCAACCGGAACAAATATGGAAAGAACAAAGCCAAACGGTCAGGGCTACCAGAAATACGGGAAGTCAAGCCAAGATCAAAAAAACAATAATCAGAATCAGGATAACCGACAGGATGGAAACCACGACAGGGCACTGAACAACTGCAGGTTTGGGTTTAAATAACCCAGTAAATCCTGCTATTGGCTGATTTGGGTCCCATGACCCCAGAACGTGCGTGCACGGCGAGAACGTGACGCCGCACGCACGTTCACGTCACTAGTGATGTCATTGTGGGCGGCGTTATTAATTAGTGCCACCTTGCAGCGGCCCCCCACCCACCTCACAGTTCCCCTGCCCACTCACAGTAACCCTACCCACCATACAGCCCCCCTACCCACCATACAGCCCCCTAGCCATGTCAGTCCCTGTTGTGGAAATAAGGTCTGCACATATTTCCTAGTTAGTAAAAATATCTATTTACTCATTCCGCGATATACTATATAAAGCTATATACACGTGCTTTAATCAAGATGGCTGCTAGAAGCTTCTAACCCCTCCTCCCCCTTTAACACCGATTTACTACCTCGTGTAGCAAGATGGCGCCGGGAAACCGTGGGAGACCCTCATGGACCTGGTGACATCACCCTTAGTAGGCAGAGCATTAGGAAGACCACTTAACACCTAACCAATTATTGATGTATTATTCCATGTTATCTCTGACAATGCTTATGATGTAATTTTGCTTTAAAAGGGACCTGCCGTCCCCTCTGAATAAACTTTCCTCAAGTTATTCAACAACCTGGAACCTGTGTCTGGTGTGAATTACTTCAGGGAGCGTGCACGCATTGTTTCATTGATTTGGCCAGGGGCAGATACACAAAGAAATAATCAATACCCCCTACCCACTAAACAGCCCACCTTCCTACCTCACAGTCCCCCTACCCATAATACAGCCCCCCTACCCATTATACAGCCCCCCTACCCACTCACAGCCCCTCTACCCACCTTACAGCCCCCCTACCCACCTTACAGCCCTCCTACCCACTATACGGCCCCCCTACTCACACACAGTCCCCTACCAACCTCATAGTCCCCCATCCACCTTACAGAACCCCTACCCATCTTACAACCCCCCTACCCACTCACAGCCCTCCTACCCACCATATTTGAAAAAAATAAAAATTATATATATATATATATATATATATATATACACATATACATACACACATACACATATACACACACACACACACACATACACACCAATAATATGTAAGGCAAATATGTATGCATATATTTATATGTATGCATGTCTTGCCACCCTAGATGATTGAGTAAAATATACACATATATATATAAAATGTGTTTATACATTACTCAATCATCTAGGGTGGCAACACATAGCCGTACGTATTACATGTGACAATACATGGTCCAGTGACTTATGGGGCTGGCATAGATTTTTTTTCCAGGGCTGCTTTGTATCCCCAGTTCAGACCTGATCCCATGTAACCTGAACTATTTCCTTAATAAAAATCTGATCAATCAATAAGATTAGTACAGACTAGTAAGAAACAAGCCCAACACCAATCCTATTACCCTTATTAAAGTACTAGTCCAACATAGGAATGAGAAAACCTTAAAAACATATAATGCACAACTTTATTAACCCCTTAACGCAGTTACGGTGTTCTATGCCGTCCCCATTTAAATGGGCTTTAAAGCCATTGCGGCGGGATGGAACGCCGTACCGGCTTGCAGCCCCAGGAGGTAAAATTTACTTACCTCTGCCGCGATCCTCTTCGGGAGGACTGCCTGACAGCCCAGGTAGCCCTCCCACTGCTTTGTAGCGAGCGCTGCCTTCCCACTATTAGTAATCATAGAAGAGGACACTGGTTGAGTATCACAAACAAAGGCTGGACTGTGAAAACCATACAGACTCGATTTTAACAAGACCCACAGACTTTTGTCTAGTACTACTATTGGTTGCAAGGCAAAAAAGCAGTAAATTCTTTGCGGTGGAGCCAGTCTGGTGTGAAGCTCGCCATCTCGTGATATTGCTAACAAAACACAATACTCTATGTTAGTGAGGGTACTCATCAAGTGAAGCCATGCTGGTTAGTGTCCACGTCAGGTACAGTATGCACAGTCACAAAAATAGCATGGAATCAGATCTCATCCGTTCAGCACAGATCCGTGTAAATCACCAGTTTTTCCTAGTGAGGCATGGCACAGGTGTGTGTCATTTAACCCCTTAAGGACTGAGCCAAATGTACACGTTGTGAACGAAACAAAATGTAAACAAAACCTGGCATTTGCGCAACATGTCTGTCCAACCGCAATTCACCTCTTTCATATTAAATGCACCCACCCTTATTATATATCATTTTATTCAGGGGAAACAGGGCTTTCATTTAATATCAAATATTTAGCTATGAAACATAATTTAATATGGAAATTGGGAGAAAATAAGATTTTTTTTAATTTTTTTAGTTCTACATTACATTTTAACTGTCAATGTCATAATACTGTTTGCTTTTACTGCAATAAAATACACATATTTGTATTCAGCAAAGTCTCACGTGTAAAACAGTACCCCCTATGTACAGGTTTTATGGCGTTTTGGGGAGTTACAGGGTCAAATATAGCACGTTACATTTGAAATTGAAATTCGTCAGATTGGTTACGTTGCCTTTGGGACTTTACAGTAGCCCAGAAATGAAAGATACACCCATAATGGCATACCATTTGCAATAGTAGACAACCCAAGGTATTGCAAATGGGGTATGTCCAGTCTTTTTTAGTAGCCATTTGGTCCTCCGAGGGACTAGAACTCCGGGAGCAAGCCTCTCCTCAGCTCAGGTAGCCCGGTTACTTTGAGGGTCGCAGTCGTTGGCAACTTAAAATCTCGATTTATAGGCTATATGTTTGCAGGGGCTGAGCCGTCCTGCGACCGCTCAGCTCGGCGGCCCGGCCCCACCCCCTTGCAAGCACTATATTTAACCCTGTAACTTTCCAAGACACCATAAAACCTTTACATGGGGGGTACTGTTTTACTCTGAAAACTTCGCTGAATACAAATATTAGTGTTTCAAAATGGTAACTTGTGGTGGGGGGGCGGAGCCAGCAGCCATACAGAGCAGACGTGTGCCAGCAGAGCTCCGCAGAATTAAGCCTGAAATAAGCGATTTAACCACCTGAAACACTCCAACCTCAGCCTCTATCGGGTCACAGTGAGATGGGGAAGAAGACAAAACACCAGGGAACCCCGAGACCGACAGGGGCACGAGACATCAGGGATCTTCTCCTCCGACCTGCACAGGCCCCAAACCACGCCGCGCAAAAAAACCCCCAAAAAACATGGCGATACGGCCTCGGCCTCCTCCGAGGACCAAGCAGTGGACGAGCTGGATGAATTCCCAAGCTCAGGGGGCTTACACCTTCCGAAGATAGCGAGCTGCCCTCCACGAAGGGGGATATCAAAGCCTTGCTCCGCAACCTCCGCGAAATGTTTGCCGCAGATGTGGCCACACTGCGAGAAGAAATACAAACAGTAGAGGGGCGCGTCAAAACAACAGAGGGAGAAACGAAAGACCTCTCCGCCCGGTGTACACAACTGGAAGCCCAAAACACAGAGATGAGGCGAGCTCAGTCTCAACTCACCAGCCGCCTAGATGCACTAGAAGACCAGCACAGGAGCAGAAATGTAAAAATCCGGGGTATCCCGGAGACTGTGGCCTCATGCGACCTGACACACTACGTCGGGAGACTGCTCACCTCCCTGCTCTCAACACAACAAGCACGCCTAACTGAGATAGATGGGACCTACCGCATCCCGAGAGCCGCCACAGCACCAGCAGACACCCCACGGGATGTCATCCTGCAGCTACGAACACGGGCAGCCCAACTGACCCTTATGACTGCCGTGAGAAACAAGGCAAATTACCCATTTGAAAATGCTACCTTATCCTTTTATCAGGACTTGTCCAGGCCCACAGTGATATGGAGAAGCCGGCTCAAGCCACTAACAGCCACGCTCCATCAACAGTCTATCCCATATCGATGGGCATTCCCTAGGAGCCTGGTCATCTCTCATGGGGGCGCAACAACCCGTCTAACGGACGCAGCGGAAATGGACTCAGTACTGACCGCTCTGGGGCTACCGACGAACCCGGTTAGCACCACCCAAGCCCCGAGACGACAGCCCCCTCACTCAGGGCCGGATTAACATAGGGGCTGATGGAGCTGCAGCTCCAGGCCCAGGCCCATGGAACAGGCCCATTGATTTAAAAAAAAAAAAAAAAAACTTTTTTTTTTTTTTACACACACTACTATGAGGGTTGCCAGGTATTTCTTATGGTTGCCAGGTATTTCTCAGAAGTATTTATCAGGTATTTGAGGCTGCCTAGCCGGTGCCGGTATTGAAGTAATGCCGTCAATACAAATGTCTATCTCAGTATAAACAGAGATTATTCTGCAATACCAGCACCAGCCAGTGGGGGTCACTGTTTGTGTGGAGAGAGGCAGGGATAAGAAGTTACAGCATCTGCCTCTCTCTACTCACTGATCTGCGGGGGAGCAGCTCTGCACAGAGAGTCCAGACAGCAGCTACGAGCCTGCGAGACATGTGGACACTGAGACACTGAGAGACATAGGGACACTGGGGAACATGGGGATCCTGAGACACTAGGGACACAGTGGCTCCATGTCTCCCAGTGGCCCCTAGTCTCTCAGTGTCCCCACGTCTCCCAGCCAGTGTCCCCATGTCTCCCAGTGTCCCTGATGTCTCTCAGTGTCCCCATGTGTCTCTCAGTGTCCCCATGTGTCTCTCAGTGTCCCCATGTCTCTCCCAGGGTCTCATTGTCCCCATGTCTCCCAGTGTCCCAATGTCTCTAAGTGTCCCCTAGCGTCCTAGTGACATTGGGACACTGGGAGACACTGGGAGACATGGGGATACAAATACTAGGGGACACTGGGCGACATGGGGACACTGAGACACTAGGGGGCACTGAGAGACATGAGGACACTGGGTGACTTTGAGACCTGGGAGACATGGGGCACTCCCAGTGTCCCCATGTCTACCAGCCAGTGTCCCTAGTATTTCAGTATCCCCTTGTCTCCATGTCCCAGGTGTCTCTCAGTGTCCGCAGTGTCTCAGTGTTTCCTAGTCTCCCAAAGTCCCCTAGTCTCCCAGTGTCTCAATGTCTCCTAGTGTCACCTAGTATAAAAAAAAATCTCAGGCACTCACTGTGATAGATTTAAGTCTAGTGAGCAATCAGAGAGAAGCTGTTATATTTCTACTCATATCTCTATTCTGCCTGTGAATACCTTATGAGTTAATAATTACTCAATCATTTCTAGTTCACAGAGAGATTTTTCGCTTATTTTTTAATTCTTCAAGTTTATTCAAGACAGGCATTAGATAAGAGCAGTAGATAGGGGCTGCAATCTGAAACAAGTTACCAACCCCATACAACTGAGGGTTAAAGCAACTGTAGCTAATTAGTATTCTCTTTATGCTCTCTCCGTTTTTCAACAATATTGCAACACTGTGATAATACAGAAGCCCTAACCTGACAGCTATCTGACTCAGTTTCTTCACTCAAACTGTCTCCTATATTGAATTGCATTAACCAAAATTAGGAGAAGAGAGATTGCAACAATTTGTAATTACAAACAACCTTCTACTAGTTCTATATTATGATATTGTAGAATCAGTGACATCAGCCATCTGCTCCCTGTATCCTGGACACCTACTCAGTGTGATATAAGAAAATCCAACTCCTGATAGAGACCTCACTCAATAAAGTCAGAGATTAGGACAATTGGACGACTTTATATTCTTTATCTATTTCTGCATGTATCATCTATTTTTCTGAGTAGGTAGAGGTATAGCCAGTTGGCTTTGGATTTGCTATCTGACCATTAATATAAGTGGTGTGCAGCGTTCTATCAAAGAGCATACATTTCCTCATCTTGTGTTCCTTTCCAGCTAACACCGACATTCAGAGTCTTTTAGCTCTGGAAATAGGTAGTTATTATTACGCTGTGATAGATTTAAGCAGATTTATTGGACACCGCAATGTTTCAACCTGTAACCAGGTCTTTATCAAGTCTCCAGTGTGCCCTATGTATCACAGTGTCCCCTGTGTATCAGAGTGTCTCAGTGCCCCATGTCTCCCAGTATCCCTGGTGTGTTTCAGTGTCCTTAGTGTCTCAGTGTCCCCTAGTCTCCCAGTGTCCCCATGTCTCACAGCACCCCCAAGTGTCTCAGTGTCCCCTAGTATAAAATAAAAAAAATCGCAGGCACTCACTGTGATAAATTTAAGCAGGTTTATTGGACACCGCAATGTTTCAACCTGTAACCAGGTCTTTATCAAGTCTCCAGTTTGCCCTATGTATCACAGTGTCCCCTGTGTATCAGAGTGTCTCAGTGCCCCATGTCTCCCAGTATCCCTGGTGTGTTTCAGTGTCCTTAGTGTCTCAGTGTCCCCTAGTCTCCCAGTGTCCCCATGTCTCACAGCACCCCCAAGTGTCTCAGTGTCCCCTAGTATAAAATAAAAAAATCGCAGGCACTCACTGTGATAAATTTAAGCAGGTTTATTGGACACCGCAACATTTTGACCTGTACCCAGGTCTTTATCAAGTCTCCAGTGTCCCCTATATATCAGTGTCCCCTATGTATCACAGTGTCTCAGTGCCCCATGTCTCCCAGTGTCCTCTCATGTCTCAAAGTTACCCAGTGTCCCCATGTCTCCCAGTTTCCCCAAGAGTCTCAGTGTCCCCAGGTCTCTCAGTGTCCCAATGTCTCTCAATGTACCCTAGTGTCCTAGTGATATAGGGACACTGGGAGACATGGGGACACAGACACTAAGGGACTGAGAGACATGGGGACACAGACATGCCCCCTTTTTGTGTATGTTCGCCCCTTTCGGCAGTTCTGGTTATGTGATTTGTGTCAGTGGCCCACCCTTTTGTCCCGTCCATAGACTTCCTGCTTTACTGGACACTGTTGTTAGGGGGTATGGGTTTACTTGAAAGATGTTTTCTCATAGCTGCATCCTATGAGTTTCCCTCCAGCACCATCTCCATCAGATACATGACGCTTAGGAGGTAGGACTGTTTTAGTATTTTTGGTCAATAACATTTTGTAACTAGGCCCGTCATAATTGTCAGCACCAGGCCCACTGGGCTCTTAATCTGGCCCTGCCCTCACTTCCCCCCCTGTTTAGTATAAAGGGTCCCCACCAACCGCTCAGGGGTGGGGGCCGGGGGGGAGGACAATTGGTCCCCCCCTTGTTAGTATTAAGGGTCCCCACCCACCGCTCAGGGGTGGGGGCCAGGGGGGAGGACATTAGGTCCCCCCCTTATTCTAATTTAGGGACCCCACCCAACACTCAGGGGTGGGGGCCAGGGGGGAGGACATTAGGTCCCCCCCTTATTAGTATTTAGGGCCCCCACCCACCGCTCAGGGGTGGGGGCCGAGGGGGAGGACAATAGGTCCCCCCCATTATTTTACTTTAGGGCCCCCACCCGCCGCTCAGGGGTGGGGGCCGAGGGTGGAAATATTTTTTTTTTTTTTTTAACAGTGAGCAGCTGTTTAAGAGACATGCCCCTACTCGTGGTATAGCAAGTAGGGGCAAAATTTACTAATACTAAGTAATTTTTACTTAGTATTAGTAAATTTGTCTGAAAGACCAATTTAGGTCTTTCAGCCTTTTGGTAGATAACTCCTTAGTACCGTGGGGATTAGGGAGTTATCTACAAGAGAAGTCCCAAAGTGCCGAAGTGCCGAAGTGTCGAATTCCCGAATTTCGGAATGCCGAACCTAACTGAAGATTTTCCACATGCACATGCCTATTAGAAAGCGGGTGAACGTAACCTGATACTATGTCGCAAAAATGCATACAAATTTAAAGCACCCATCTAAGTCTCATGAGCTGCTGAGGACTAGGAAAGTCTGATATAGTATCTAATATATAACAACAATAAATGTAGATAAAGAATAGCAGACTGATCCTTAGGCAGTGTAATGGATCAAAAGCAGAAATTGTAGAGTAAAGAAGGCTCTGTATGGTGTTAACCAGTGACTCTCTTATTAATCAGCTTAATTAATCTTTAAGAAACCATAGAATGAAAAGGAAATTGGAATATATGGGGTAATCCAAATCAGTAAACCCCAGGCTGAGAAACTATAACAGCTGGCAAACCAACAATTGAATATGAAATTGCCCCTAGTATATAATCCCTTATTGTCAAGTGCTGAGAGCCAATATAATAATATGTAGATGATAGACAAGTATGCAGACCTAAATTGGTCTGCTTATAAGTAGAGGAACAAGTAGTCCCATATAGTATACACCCTGAAGATACAGAGATTAGCTAGTAGTATAGAAAAGATAGTTTTAAAAAATCTGTAAATAACTGCTTCAGGTTAACCCCTCATAAACTAGATATAGCCAGTGTGAAATAAGCTAAACACTGCTGCTTCAAGGCAGCCTATCATCTAACTAAAACAGCCAATACTAACTCATCTACTACTGCCCCAAAATTGAAACTGCCTATTTGCCCAGAGAGATTAAGATTTATAGTAATGGCAAGTTGTTAAGACATGCAAAAGCTGTCCAAGTATTAAAAAAGAACAGTGGAGCATCTGCTCGACACGCGTTCCGTCACTTATATGCATGCGCCTTTGTCAAGATCAGACTGAAATCTTGCCTCCCTTTAAAGGGGAAATGGAGCCGCCCTTTTTTTTGTGTGTGTGTGATGTCAGTGACAGCTGCATATCAAATTAGGCAGAGGAAGAGGAGGAGGGTCATTAGAACCAACAAATTAACCACTTCAATGCCAGAGGGTCATGAAAGCAAACAAATTAACTCCTCCAATGCCAGAAAGAATTCATAAAGAATTCAGTCAATCTTAAAGTATATATCCTTAATAGGGAGAGGAAAGATATTAAAGGGACACTCCAGTGCCAGGAAAACAATCTGTTTTCTTGGCACTGCAGGTCCCCTCTCCCTCCCACCTCCTATCCCCGGTTGCTGAAGGGGTGAAAACCCCTTCAGTCACTTACCTGAGACCCCTGCCGATGTCCCTCGGTGGTGGCTTCAGGTCGCCGCCGCTCCTCCCCTTCCTTACGTCAGCCGGTGGGCGTGACTGATCCCGCCTGCCGGCCAGGGAGACCTAATGCGCATGCGCGGCAATGGCGCGCACGCGCATTAGAGCTCTCCATAGGAAAGCATTGAAAATGCTTTTCAATGCTTTCCTATGGGGAATTGAGTGACCCTGGGAGGTTCTCACACAGCATGAGGACGTCCACAGATGCTCTAGCACAGAAAACCTGTGCTAGATACACGGAAGTGCCCTCTAGTGGCTGTCTAGTAGACAGCCACTAGAGGAGGAGTTAACCCTGCAAGGTAATTATTGCAGTTTATAAAAAACTGCAATAATTACACTTGCAGGGTACAGGGTAGTGGGAGTTGGCACCCAGACCACTCCAATGGGCAGAAGTGGTCTGGGTGCCTTTAAGTAAGTATTTCAAAATTGGATGTCCGGTGTAAGCATTAGATGAAATAAGTGTTAGACATAAAAATAAGATATTAATGTACATATCTATCTATCTATCTATCTATCCTGTCTGAGCTTCATATACAGATGTGACAAGTGACTGAAACAATATTAATGTCAATGTTGGATAGACGAGAATCCAATAATAAAACATATTTATAAATGTATAAATGTATTGCTAATTATGGGCAAATGCAAATATTACAAGTTTTAGAATGAAATGTTGTATTTTTTAAACTGTGTACTTTGTCTTTAAGAGATATTGCAAACTGACAAGGTGTTAGAAATGGGACATATTGTTTTTCATAACTGTTTCTTTAAGCAATAACCTCAGTGCATAATATGTTTGCGCCATTTTGTCCCAGACGAATTACAATAACAAAAATGCAAAAACAGGCTTCAAGGCTATACTACGACTCTTTCAGTACACAATATACTGTGGTAACCCCAAGTTAATGGAACTTCCCCAAATCCGGGAATCTCCCACGACTGTACACTTACGACTTAGTATAAACAACAGATAATCTATTCAGACTTTAAGATGCCATCTTGAACTAAGTCAGGAAAATTTCCATGACGTATGCACCCTTCTGTTATGGCCTTGTATGTTTGCAAAATTAAGGGAGGTCCTAAAATGAATAAAGTAAAAGAAGTGTTACTTTTTCACATATGAACTACGGTAACCCGGAAATGGAGACACCTAAGGTATAAATAGGTGTACTTTTAAATGTTAAGACACAGAGGAGAGACTTGGAGACAGACCCTGCTCCATCTTAAAATGACAGAGAGGCTGACATGATGACATGTTCAGGAGGGTATGTTAACCTATTAATGATATTTGCAAGCATGTAATTTAATCTTATAAACTCTGCTATAATGGATTTTATATTTATATTTTTATATAATATCCAAAAAGACAAAACTATTGCTTCCAAGACAATCCTTATTTTATATTGTATTCTCAATTATTTATAAATGTTAAATAGAGGATCTCTTACTAACTATATAAAATTATGGCTAAGATATATGTATGGTTAGCCCTACTAAGTTCTATGCTTTATGACATTATAGTGGTAAATAAGGGAACCACCCGCGGTTACAATTGGCGACCACAAAGGGACTTGTACTTGGAAGCTTTAAATATAAAATAAATACCTAGGTAACCTCTTATACGTAAGAGAAGACACAATACTTTGTCATGGCACAAGTCTTGAAATATCAAGCATCTATTGAGCTATTTGTAGCCCAGACTCAGAGAGAGATGTTCATCATTAGAGATGATTTTAATGTGAACAAGGCACTGTGAGTTCAGGTGCCAGGTACATCGTTATTAGCATACAATGCTGAAATTGTGGATCTTAATTAATATCATAAGAGAATAAATATACATATTTGGTAAACTCCCTGATATGCCTAATACGCCAGCACAGCATGGCTCATTAGTTCCAGGACAGTGGATTGCAGACAGGGGGATATGTTCTCTTTGTAGCTGCTTAGTATGCATGCACAGAAAAAAGATTAATGCAAAATGTTGTCAAAAGAAAAGTAATAAGACAGAGCGATTAAATTTGAAGTCTAATTCCAAGAATGCAAAGAAAATTGCATTATGGCTTACAGGGCCGTCTTTAATATTGACCGGACACTGGGCAACCATTTGCTTGGGGCCCCTGGACTCTGCCCCCTGCCAGACATACTAACACACATACACAGAGACATACACTGACAGACATACTGACACACACGCTGACACACACACTGACAGACATACTGACACACACAGAAACATACACTACAGACATACTGACATATGCAGACACATATACTGACACACATACACAAAGACATACAATGACAGACATACTGACACAAGCACAGACACATACACTGACAGACATACTGACATAAACATACACTGACAGACATACTGACAAACATACACTAAAAGACATACTGACACAAACACAGACAGACATACTGACATAAACATACACTGACAGACATACTGACAAACATACACTGAAAGACATACTGACACAAACACAGACAGACATACTGACACAAACACATACACTGACATACATACTGACACAAACACATACACTGACAGACATACTGACAAACATACACTGAAAGACATACTGACACAAATACAGACAGACATACTGACATAAACATACACTGACATACATACTGACACAAACACATACACTGACAGACATACTGACATAAACATACACTGACAGACATAGTGACAAACATACACTGAAAGACATACTGACACAAACACAGACAGACATACTGACACAAACACATACACTGACAGACATACTGACACAAACACATACACTGACATACATACTGACATAAATATACACTGACAGACATACTGACAAACATACACTGAAAGACATACTGACACAAACACAGACAGACATACTGACACAAACACATACACTGACATACATACTGACACAAACACATACACTGACAGACATACTGACAAACATACACTGAAAGATATACTGACACAAACACAGACAGACATACTGACATAAACATACACTGACATACATACTGACACAAACACATACACTGACAGACATACTGACATAAACATACACTGACAGACATACTGACAAACATACACTGAAAGACATACTGACACAAACACAGACAGACATACTGACATAAACATACACTGACAGACATACTGACACAACTGACACATACACTGACAGACATACTGACAAACATACACTGACAGACATACTGACACAAACACAGACACAGACAGACATACTGACATAAATTTACACTTTTAGTTTCCTACCTTGGAAGGTGGTTCCCCAGGTGTCCAGACTGAAGGCTGTTGGGATCTGTCTCTCCTGGCTAAGGCTCCCTCCTTCGTCTCCCGCGCGGCTCCTCTCCTTAGTGGGAGGAAGTGACTCGCAGCAGTCACTTCCTCCCAGCGCTGCCGAAAAGCAAAGGGCCCGGTCGCGCTGTTAAAGAGCTACAGTGTGTGACCGGGCCCCTGCTTACAATACCCACCCGGTGGCCTGCTTAATGTGGGGACCGGCAGCCCCATGGGAGAAACAATTGTTGAGGGCAGCGGGGCCCACGGGGAAGCTGCCTTGGGCCCCCCAAGAGTAGCTGGGCCCGGGGCAGCTGCCCCGTTTGCCCCGCGTTAAAGACGGCCCTGATGGCTTAATGAAAACATTCATGCAACAGACAGACAGGATATTTAATTATTGCATTACCGCGTTCTGGATTCTAATGTCCACTATATATGAAAAGTTTTATAAAACACTGATAATTTCCATATTGTCAGTTACACTAGCTGTTGATTGAAAATCAGGAATTATAACAGCATAACTATTTTTGGAGTCTGGAATTTCCAGCCAAGGTTGCGGAGATACAGAGACATGTAAACATTCCAAGGAATTGAGAAGTCGTCGTTTTATATTCCAAATTATGAACAACATTATTACATACAACCATAAAGAGAAAGACATGGCTTTTAAATAAATTCAGTGCAGTACAATGCAGCACACTGCAGCATGTATTTTATATAATATAGGCTAACTAGTTCATATTTTTTCCTAAACAGAGTTGAAATTATACTACCCTGATAGAAAAAAGGGCAACAGGTGGTTATACATCCTTTGCTTCTCTAAATCCTCTGCAAAAAAATAAATATTTATAAAATAATTAAAAATAATATATATGTAAGATAAATCAGGGCTAAATAAAATGGTAACTATACAGGATCTCTGATAACTTTTAAACTGAAATTATTAAAGGCTTATTTAAATAAAATGTTAAATACATTTACAGCTTTAAATGTAACCAAAAGATCTTAAATGATGTGTTAAGCAGCCAGCCCAATTCACTAGAATAGCATAAGTATTCTACTATTTAAAGTGCACAATTCCAAAAATGAACGTTTAAAGTGTAATGGTTGAAGTGTATACGCTAGCGTTGGAAATGTGGAACGCGGGAAGTGTGATGTGAACTATGTGATGTGATATATGTATAATGTACATACCCATGGCAGAACGTGTACGTGTAAACAACGTTGCCTATATCCCTCCCCACCTCTCCCCTTTTTATTCTGTACCACCCCCCCCATACACTGCTTTTTGATGTATGACAAAATAAAAATTGTCAAATTGAAAAAAATAAAGTGCACAATTCCTGCACATAATGACTTTGCTTACTCAGGTACAGTCTTTAGTCTATTGCAATGGCAGTAAAGTCCACCAATTGTAAAAGGGAAAGCTTACTTAAATCAGTGGTACTATCCCACCGTACTAGCAGTAAGGAAATTAGAACAATTATATTGTACTACTGACTAATCAGATCAGACACATGTAAACTCAGTGAATTTCATAAACTAGGTTTTCATAAAATAAGATTAAATATCAAAGTTGTTTAAATATCAATATGTCAATGTTGTTTATAAATAAAAGTATATAGACTAGGCAATAACAGCATTTACATGCATTCAGCAGCCTGCTCTCTCAGAACCAGAAACAGATTTATAAAAAAAAAAAAAAATAGGTTTTAAAAAGTCCACAGTCAACCACACATGAAGGGTGAAATAATTGCTTCTTTAAAAGCTATATGCTGCCGCAATTATGTATATAAATACAGATAAGGGCAAAGAGTAAAAATAAAAATACAGTTTTGTTTTTTTTATTCTTTATTTTTGTTGTGCATTATGGGTTACAAACATGCCTGTTATGCCACGACAGCAGTCACAGGTATATCAACGTAAACATTGTCATGACAGGTTTAAGCTGCACATTTTTTATAAGTAGGTATGCGTACAAATACATGCGATCAATGTTAAAAGTATGCGCGTTGTTGAAAGTTATGCTGATTAACAGGTGGTTCATGGGCGTCCGCAGGAATTTTTCCAGGGGGGGGCATAATTGTAATGACATCCATGCTTGGTACCTTTTTGACAGTGTCATGAAAGGGAAGGGGCATAGCCATTATCACATAAAGCCAGGGTGAATAGCGTTTTCACAACTATGGTGTCAGGAATATATGTTTGTATTCCTGACACTATAGTGTTCCTTTAAGCAAATTAAAGGACATTTCTGGTCACCATAACAACTTCACCTAAATGAAAATGCTATGATGCCAGGAAGCCCCTGGGTGCTCGCTTTCCTTTAAGGGGTTAAATCGCTCTCAAATGGTTTAACCCCAAAGGCTTCCTCCAGCTCCAGGTCGCTCAGTGGTATTTGGCTTCTGAAACAGAGTGTCAGGAAGTGCAGATTGACGTCAGGCATGGGTGCCGCTGATTGGCTAGAGTGGTCAGTTGACGCTCTAAGCCAATCGCTAGTTCCCGGTTCATAAAATATTTTTACTTTTTTATGAATGGGGAGCTACTGATTGGTTTAGAGTGCCAGCTGACCGCTCTAGCCAATCAGCAACACCCCTACCCAACGGCACTCTGTGCTTCCTGACACTCAGTAAATAAAAGTGAACACATTAACACCGATATTTTTTTACCTTTGGAGATGAGAAGGTCCAGCGTTTCCCTGCCAGGCCCAGGTACCAAAGCCTTATGATGTGGTGTCCAGAATAAAGTGGAGGGTTCACTTCATTTGTCCTTCCTGCTCCAATCTCCTTTTTCCTCTCCTTCATTTGACAGTCTTTTTTTTTCTTCTGACACTGTTTTCTATCCTTGGCCCCTTCTGCTCTTTTACCTTTCTGCTTATTTTCTGCCCTTCTGCTCCTTTCTCATTCTGATCCCTTTCTGCTCCTTGCAGACCCTTTCTGCTCCCTTTTCTACTTTACCTTTGTGCTCCTTGCTGTCCCTTTCTGCTCTTTCTCCTACTTTACCTTTGTGGTCCTCCTGATTCTTTCTGCTCCTTTACCTTTGTGCTCCTTGCTATCCCTTTGTGCTCCTTCCTGCTCCTTGCAGGCCCTTCCTGCTCATTCTCCTACTTTATGTTTGTGCTCCTTCTGCCCCTTCCAGCTCATTTCTGACCCTTTCTGCTCCTTCCTGCTCCTTGCAGGCCCTTCCTGCTCATTCTCCTACTTTATGTTTGTGCTCCTTCTGCCCCTTCCAGCTAATTTCTGACCCTTTCTGCTCCTTCTACTTTACCTTTGTGCTGCTTTACCTTCCAGCTCCTTGCTGACCCTTCCTGTTCATTTCTATATATCTATAGGCTGCTGCCCCCCCAAATCTATAGGCTGCTGCCCCCCCAAAAATCTATGGGCTGCTGCCACCCTCCCCAAATCTATGGGCTGCTGCCCCCCTCTCCAAATCTATGGGCTGCTGCCCCCCCTCAAATCTATGGGCTGCTGCCCCCAAATCTAAAGGCTGCTGCCCCCAAATCTATGGGCTGCTGCTGCCCCTCCCAAATCTATAGGCTGCTGCATCCCCCCAAATCTATAGGCTATCTCAAACCCTCCCCCCATCCCCCACTTACCTGATCTGTAGGCTGTCTCTGGCTGCATGTGTTGCTCCCCTGCGGTTTCAATCAGCAGAGAGAAGCAGGGATAAGATGCAGCTTCCTATCCCTGTCTCTCTCCATACACAGCGCCACCTACTGGCCGGCGCCGGTATTGCAGTTCATTTTAAATCTCACACAAAATAGCAGAACAAGCTGAAAAATCCAGGGGGGGGCAAGTGCCCCCCCTTGCCCCCCCTGCGGACGCCCATGAGGTGGTTGTTGTTCTATGCCTGGCACATTTTAGCAATCATTTGACTTAAACAATTATTAAACTTAGGGGAAACCAGCTTAGTCTAGTAGTGTTACTCAGATATCAGAAATACCGTTTTGTTCATACTTAGATTATTAGGTTTATTTCCTGTCCTATTGCTTGTTAGATATTATATTATTATCGAGTTAGTGTGTGTCCGCACATAAACAATAGGCAGGCATCATTTTAGGGCATAGCAAGCGGTCGATGAACTATAATAGCTTAAAAGAAAAAGGAAAATAAACCAGGCTATGGCATATAAAAACAAAGTAATAGGGTTCTGTCAACGGTAATTGCATCAGGCTAGTTTTAACATGTAACTCGATTGATATGTGATGGAGCCTATACATCAACATTGCGTCTTGCCAGATGTGGTGCTTCAGTAGTTAAGCAGTTAGTTACAAGCACTTCCCTGGACCCAGATTAACTAGCTATGCCTCCCACCTCCCGAGATAAAGACACAACAGTATTAGCTAGTTAAGTGCAGATCCCCATATTCCTGACTGGTAGCTGGTAAAAACGACTGAGTTACTAAGAACCCCCTTTATGTTGGCAGTCTCTTATATTTAGACAGTATTTTATGCTTGCCGCTGGTATTCAAGGTTGCAGTCATGTTCATGTTCCACTGGTAGGAGTAGTAGTGGGGACGCCGGATTATCCAGTGGGTTGTGGAGCATTGTTGTGCCCATTCGCTTGTAGCCTTGTGGATGTTGTCCGCCCGTTCCGCTTTGCGGCTTGGTGGAGAGACTTTTGCTTTGTGGCTCAATGCTGGTAAGAGGGTAAAGTAGCGTTGTCGCATATAGGTCATATGAGTCTCTGCATTATCGGTGCCCCCTGTGAGTTTATTGCAGTCCAAATGTCGGTTGGTTGTTAGTTGGTGGCGCGGTCTCACCAGAGGTGGCTGTGAGTGGTTAGCCTTTCTTTGCTTGGATGCTTTGCTTGGTTGCTATAGTAGTGGCTTGTTGCTTGCCATAATAGACGTCGGACCAGCTTGTTCCCAGAGGTCTCTTTGCTCCCTTCGGGATCGTGGAAAAGGCATACCCTCCTTCTGTCAGCCGCCATTTTAGTTGAGGCGTTTGGGCCAAGAGGCTGGGTGGTAATGTTGTTGGCCCCCGGGTTGTGCTGTCTCGGTCTGGGTCCCAGGGTGCCGACCGGGATCACCCCCACCGGTCCAGGGGGGGACAGGGCCAGATCCACACGGTTGCCGTCCTCTGGTTGGGTCTGTTAGGCAGGATAGTGGAGCAGCGGCCGTCCGCCCCACTCACCGCCAGAGTAGGCCCAAATTAGAGCATCAAGGGCCTCTCCTCCTGGGGACTGTAGCTTGGGGAGCCAGCCTCACCCTGGATCCAGTGTCCCCTCTACACTGAGGACAGGTGCTGGCGGTCCTTGGTATGGTTAAAAATGTTCTTTTTGTGGCTATTTAGTTATTAATTTGTAGGAGCTGAGCTGCCATGCTGCCTTCCAGCTCGGCGGTCCGGCCCCACCCTCCATAAAAATACAGTTTTAAATCTCATATATGGGGATTCAGTTCCACCACATATTCTACAATTGTGAATATATATACTGCAAAATTAATGTGATATTGCAAAGCCTGCAATATTCTAAACAGACATTAAACATAAGAAAAAAAAAAGAATAATAATGCACAAAGAATAATGCATAAAAAATGCAGTGTCAATTAAAGTGATAATACTCTGATATATTAAATCACATATCTGCTATATGAAAAGTATAATTAAGGTAACTTTACTGTCACATTTATTTTATAGAATTTATACTTTTCAGTGGTCACCTCCAAAGAAGCCTCTGAAACTGGGGGGCTCAGAGGGGTGCTCATCCCAAAAGGAATCAGATTCCAGACTTAAAGAAATATAAATGATAAAAAAGGAATCACGGGAACACCCAGAACATGTAATCTTAATTTTCAGACATTTTATGCCTTAGAGACATATAAAGGATATTTAATTAAATATGCAGGTATCTTTGAAAATTAAGCAATGTTTAAAAAAAATTAATTATAATAATAAATATATATATATATATATATATATATATTACACTGTGATGGAATTCCAGTAAAATAAAAGTTTAGCAGGCCAAGATTGCCACAAGGCATATGTAGGTACATGTGTTTGTAGTATCAGTTAGTTAGTTACACGTAGCTAAGATACTGTCATCACTGTACTGAGCATGTGCAGGAATGCAGGAACTGGAATTACGCGCCCCTCTCCTTTGTTTCAGATGAGCCACGTGGTTAGACCGGATGGATGAGTTTAGACTCTATTCATTGATTAGGTTAAGGGTATGTGTGGGCGTAGCTAATTATGGGAAGAGCTACAGTGCTATATAAGGAATGTACTCTATGTAATCAGTACTCAGATCTTTGCTGTTTTTGGTGACATAAGTCCCTCTGAGTCCCGGTCGGTGAATCGAATAACGATCTCTTCCTTCCTGAAGAAACCTGTGTCCATCTCTCTGTGCTTGGCCTCCGCCAGTTTCCCGGTAACATCTTTGGTGCATTGGCCGGGAAGCTCGTCGTTAACGGTGGCTAGGAAGCAGAGGTGTGAGACGTCTATCTTTGCCCACGTTCTCTATGGCTGCACCCCTGAACTTCTGCGTGGACCTCCCTTCGTCTCGGCGCCACTGGTCTGTTGTCCAGGAGATCATCGGCCTCTACGTAGTAAGTACTGGGGTGTCCCCGTCGATGAGTGTGAACTCAGGTTCAGGAACGAGGAGGTAAGACGACTAATGTTTTAGACGGTGGACCCACTAGGGGTATTGGATACCGATTGTGCGGTAGGCCCATAAGGGGTTTGAATTGGAATTGTGTATGGAATTGGCCCCCTCCAGGGAGGGAAGAAGCGAAGGTGCACCGCTTATAATTAGACGCCCTGTAGTCAGCCCGTCTAATCTTGGTATGGAGTCAGGCTGGGTCTTGGTTGAATGTATATAGCCCAAGCCGGACACCGGTGTCTTGTCTAGACTAGCGTATCTAGGGTGTACATTTCGTTTGCTAGGTCGGAGGGACCGGGAGACTAAGCAAACTCTGGTGTACATTATCGTTTGCTAGTTCTCAACCTATCTTGGCTAAGTGGGAAGGCGTTTAAATTTGGAACCTACTAGACTATTGATAGAGTAGATAGACTAAAAGGGTATTGTTGTAAATTCCGCCCTCTAGTTCGCTATATGTGGTGCTTGGGCAGCGACGGCTAACCAAAACGGATGTAAATAGTTTTAGGTAGTCCCTCGAGGTACTGTCCAATAGTTTAGTTGGGAAACTGTAAATGTGTTAAAATTTATTATAGTAGAGTGTATATCTTGCTGGGTAGCGTGAGCTCTGCCGTCTAGCGAGAGTGTGAATAGTGTGTAACTGTATCATAGCACACGGTACCATAACCATGTATTATAATCACTGATACTGTAAATAATCACTAATAACTGTCGTTTATGTTGTATGTTTAACACCATAACTACTAACTGACCTGTGACTTTAAAATTGTATTCTAACCAATGCTAACCGTACTATAACTACTGTTTGTAAAGACGATGTTACTAGGGTGTGTTATAGACAGGTAATTTAAATACTGAGAATTATAGCGTGGGTAATTGTATAATTTCAAAGTTTATATCAAACCACACAAAGTGAAATAGTGGTAAATATGCAAAAATACAACCTGAGCTTGTCAGTATAATCAGGTAATATCTAAAAGCATAAAATAGAATACAACATAGTGTAATCTGTATAAAGACAGTAAAGATAGGGCAGAACAGACTGTCACTCACATTATGCAGAGCCGTCCCAGGCTCTGTATTGCAGGCTCAAGGGTGCCAATACAGGCAAATGAAGTTCCCAGAAAATGGATGGAGAAATTTCCCAAAAAATATATATTTATTGAAAATTCAAAATTCAAAATTACAAGGCTCAAGGTGCTAGGGGAGTGGAATCCAAACCATACAAACAAAAGGATATCCACTTACCCCAAGATAATGACCGAGAGCAAACACATAAAATAAACACAGATAAAGATAAAATACAGCTGGGTAGTAAAAAATAGCAGCAGACGCGTTTCGGCTCAAAAGCCTTCTTCAAGTGCTGGTGTTGAAGTCTCCGGAGCTTGTTTAAATACACTGAATAATTACAGTCACATGTGCATAGTCTCCGTTCGATTTCGTCACTTCTGGTATTTTCGAATGACGTCACTTCCGGTTATCGGCGTTTGGAACGCATGGTGGAACGCATAATGGAACGCATGGTGGAACGCAAGCCGCCGGATGAAAAAGTTCATAATATATGAAATGTAAATGCAAGACAAGCAGGGAATATATAATGGAAAGAGAAAATAATTAATTCATTTAAATTAATACATTAAATGTATTCCTAAAATATATATGAGGTAATAAACATATGAGGAAAAGGGGAAGTAGTACAGATATAATAAAATAGTAAAATATATATAATCAAAATAATAAGAGTTGGCATAGATAGAAAGTAAAAACAATAAAAACTGATAATAAAAAAATCCCTATACATTCTATACAAAGGTAACGCGATGGGTACCAGATTTGCGCCCAGCTATGCCAATCTTTTTATGGCACGGTGGGAAAATCTTTTTCTCTCTGAAGCACGCTGGGCGCATAATCTGGTCCTCTATCGTAGGTACATAGACGATATTTTTTTCATCTGGCAAGGAGATGAGGAATCTCTTAAATTTTTTGTGGAGTTTCTTAATGAAAACAGTTCCGATATACGTATCACTAGTGAACATAGTGCCACCGGCATCAGCTTTTTGGATTTATTTATATATATTGAAAACCAGGCTATCCATACTAAAACATTTTTTTTTAAAAGTTGATGTTAATGGATACATCGATACATCCAGTTGCCACTATGGCCCATGGCTATATAATATGCCAAATAGCCAATTTTTGCGATTACATAGAAATTGTATTGATACTAAAGTATTTGAGGAACAAGCACAATTCTTAAAAACTAGGTTAGTGGAGAAAAATTACGACTCGAAATCTTTGGATTTTTTTATTAAGAAAACCAAAGATAAAGAACGTAAAGAAATTTTAAAACCAAAAAAGAAATCTATAACAAAAATAATGAAAAGTTCTTAAGTGTTCCTATTGTTTTAAATTATAATGAAAATGCTAGGCAAGTTAAACATATTATAAATAAATACTGGCATATTCTTAGATCAGATCCAGCTCTTAAGAATATTATAGGAGAAAAACCGACTATAATATATAGAGGTGTGAAAAATTTAAAACATTTAACTACTAGTTTTATTAAAGATAAAAGACAAAAAAACTTTTTTAACTTAGAACAAGGCTTTTATCCTTGTAAATCTTGTGTGGCGTGTAAGAAGACTCTTTTTAAAAAACAAAAAATTACCTCTTTTACTTCTTGTCACAATCACCGTCTGTTCTCCATTCGCCAGGTTTTAACTTGTCAATCGGCTAATATTATATATCTCCTCTGGTGCCCATGTGGTCTGCAATATATTGGGATGACCACTAGAGCTTTAAAAACCAGAATTGCGGAACACATGGGCAATATCCAGAGGGGATATCTTAAACATAGTGTATCAGCACATTTTGCTGAAAAACATAGAAGTGATCCATCTGTTTTATCTTTCATGGCTATTTTTAAAAAAGAAAAAAATTGGAGAGGTGAAAATAATGTAAAAGAGTTGGCTAAGATAGAAAGTAAATGGATATTTGAAGTAGATTCATTATCCCCTAATGGACTAAATTTTGATTTTGAATTTAGCCAATTTTTAGAGTAATTTTATATATTGGATATGTGTTTTATATTTTCTAAAAAATTTTAAGAATGTATAGGGATTTTTTTATTATCAGTTTTTATTGTTTTTACTTTCTATCTATGCCAACTCTTATTATTTTGATTATATATCTTTTACTATTTTTTATTATATCTGTACTACTTCCCCTTTTCCTCATATGTTTATTGCCTCATATATATTTTAGGAATACATTTAATGTATTAACTTAAATGAATTAATTATTTTCTCTTTCCATTATTTATTCCCTGCTTGTCTTGCATTTACATTTCATATATTATGAACTTTTTCATCCGGCGGCAAAAAACGGCATGGTTATGCTTGCGTTCCACCATGCGTTCCATTATGCGTTCCACCATGCGTTCCAAACGCCGATAACCGGAAGTGACGTCATTCGAAAATACCGGAAGTGACGAAATCGAACGGAGACTATGCACATGTGACTGTAATTATTCAGTGTATTTAAACAAGCTCTGGAGACTTCAACACCAGCACTTGAAGAAGGCTTTTGAGCCGAAACGCGTCTGCTGCTATTTTTTACTACCCAGCTGTATTTTATATTTATCTGTGTTTATTTTATGTGTTTGCTCTCGGTCATTATCTTGGGGTAAGTGGATATCCTTTTGTTTGTATGGTTTGGATTCCACTCCCCTAGCACCTTGAGCCTTGTAATTTTGAATTTTGAATTTTCAATAAATATATATTTTTTGGGGAAATTTCTCCATCCATTTTCTGGGAACTTCGTTTGCCTGTATTGGCACCCTTGAGCCTGCAATACAGAGCCTGGGACGGCTCTGCATAATGTGAGTGACAGTCTGTTCTGCCCTATCTTTACTGTCTTTATACAGATTACACTATGTTGTATTCTATTTTATGCTTTTAGATATTACCTGATTATACTGACAAGCTCAGGTTGTATTTTTGCATATTTACCACTATTTCACTTTGTGTGGTTTGATATAAACTTTTTCTTTGTTATTCACGTTTTGATTGTGTTTGGGGAAACACTCTTATATCTACCACCACTCTTATCTTTATACTCACGAAACGCCTATACACTAGTTATTTGTTTTTTTAATTGTATAATTTCGCCAAAAAAGGTATAGTAATAGTTATTTAGTGTGTGGTGTAACAGCTGTGTGTGTATGAGAATTCTCCTCGTGTTTTTGGTGTGTGTTTGGCCTAGTAACTGTGCCACGTGGTGCTGTTGCTAAGGTAACTGGTGTGACTGTTGAAACTGTTTGTATATTTGTACTGCTTTGAATCAGATGCTCTGTTGAAATCATGGGTGCTTCTGATTCACAAACAGTCCTTTGTCTTGGATGTGTCAAAAAAAACCAAAAAAAAAAACCCTTTCTAAGGAATATGCTGTTTGTGATTATGGTGTAACACTGTCCCCCAAAAGATTAAAATACTCTGTGTAGCAGAGGACGGCCTCTTCTTGTAACCAGTGTTCCTGTGGATCCTTGATCCAGATTTAATACAGCAGGTTTACAGTGTTATAAATAATATGTTGGGGCTATACGAGTAGTTTCTGTATACAGATTGTTGAAACACTGCTAAATGGAACAAACTGTGCTAAGAGGAACAATGGAGTCCATGGTAGCCAGAACATGTTTGTCCTCTAAAACCTTAATTACAACTGCTTTGGACACCTCCCCCCCTCTTGCATCTGATTATCAACCCCTAATTCATCCTCCAGAGCCAGAGTAGCCCAAAACTGGTATAGCTGGTATTTGCACTCCCCCTGCTCTATTGTCCACGCCTACCCACATACCTATCTGTTCTTTTCTTTCAAACTCTTGTATTTCTGTACAAACAGTTTTTTTGTAATTTAAATTGACTTCCTTTTTGGTAGGAGTGTATTTTAGCATTTAATTTTATTTACAGTTAAATTGTGAGGAGAATTCTTAATAACAGTAACTGAGTCTATTGGATCAGATAATTCTCAGCAATGACATTGTACCATAAACATTGAAATAGCACTAAAACTATTGAATACTGTGTGTCTTCGGTGATAGTCTAAAATACAACTGGAAGAAATGATTAATGGTATAGGATGCTAGAGTACACTTTTATCTTTTTTTTAGTTACTGGATGGGCCCCTCCCAGCTTTGTTCAAAATATCCCTTTTACTAAAGTACAAACTGAGATGTTTAATTTACCATAGAACTAAAGCTTTACTCAAGCCTAGATATCAGGGTGAGCAGTGATTAAAATAAGTAATAATAAAATAAGCACATAATTAAAGTTTATCTGCTTCATTAGATTTTAGGGAGGTACTTTAGGGTCACCTACTGGCCATCTTTGGGAGTTACATTGATATTACATTGCATAATCATCTTTAACGCTATACTGGCATATAACAGACAGAAGTAGGATTGTTTATCCTATTTTAATATATTTATTGCTATAAGGTTTTATTTTATGTATAAATATATTAAAAGTTAAGTTTTATTATTAGACCCATAAAGATTATTTTGATACAATTACCCTCTGGTGACACCTACTGGTAGGTTTTTGGTTTAACACGTTAAAAAAAAAAAACAGTTTCATCCACCAAATGCTGACTAGTAAAATTAGCTCACCCCCTTCCACCTATCTTACTACTCTCAGACTGAGCAGCCTTGCCAAAGCCCTGTATTAACCCGACAGATGACTGGTACCCTCCAACCCCGACATTATCAAATGCCTCTCCGATTGACACCGGGCCCGACACACATTAATGGTGAAGGCCAGTTACAACATGCCGACCCCGTATTTGTTTATGTTCCCTTTACCACTATGGATTTGTTCAACTGGAAAACCCATAACTCTTCTTACACAGACAAACTTCAAGCCATGACAGATTTGATTACCTCAATAATCCAAACGCACAATCCCACTTGGGCTGATTGTCAGCAATTGCTTATGACATTGTTTAATAACGAGGAAAGGACTCTGATTAATCAGGCGGTAATTAAAGCGCTTGAAGAAGTGGCCCGTGCACAGAATCAGGCCAACCCAGTAGCATGGGCCGCAGCTCATTACCCAAACGTAGATCCGAATTGGAATGTTAATGGTGCTGATATGGCTCACCTAAAAGCTTATAGGGAAGCCATTATTACTGGCATGAAAGCCGGAGGGAAAAAGGAGATCAATATGTCAAAGACGGCTGAGGTATTGCAGAAATGTGATGAGTCGCCCAGTGCCTTTTATGACCAATTATTGGAGGCATACCGATTGTATACCCCCTTTAGTCCAGAGGCTCCTGAGAATTCCTGGATGGTTAACTCTGCCTTTGTCAGCCAGGCTTACGGAGATATTAAAAGAAAATTGCAAAAGCTAGAAGGGTTTGTAGGGATGTCTATAACTCAACTAATGGAAATGGCAAATAAGGTTTATATGAATAGGGAGACAGAGACGAAGAAGGAAGAAGAGCGTAAGATGAGAAGGAAGGCAGATATGTTAGCGGTAGCTATCGCTGGTGTAGATAGAAGGGAAAAGGAAGTGTACAGGGGAACCGAGAAAAGCGAGAATAAGTGGAATAGGGAGTCTTTAAGTAGGAATCAAAGTGCATATTGTAGAGAGGAAGGGCATTGGAAAGTGACTGTCCACAGAGGGGATATATTGCAGGTGGTAGACAAGAAGAGAGAAGAGGGTGAGGTGGTTATAGAGGACGAGGTAGAGGAAGTTTTGGAGGAAATAGTGGGAATAATAGAGGAAGTGTTCAAGGGGACAGATATTATCTACCCACGCAGAGACCTAGAGAAAGAGAGGATAGAGACTTTGTGGGTTTGGCTGACACTGTCATGGAGGACTATTGATACCGACCGGGCTCCATCCCCCTTGGTCGAGCGGAGCCTATGGTCAATGTAGCAATAGGGGGAAAAAGGAGTTCTTTCATGATCGACACTGGTGCTGAACATTCTGTGGTAACCGACCTAGTTGCTCCTCCTTCAGGAAGAACTATCACTGTAATAGGAGCAACTGGGAGGAGTGCTGCTAAACCGGTTCTCAAAAGTCGACTCTGTACACTGGGAGGCCACGTAGTGAAACATCAGTTTCTTTACATGCCTGAATGTCCAGTCCAACTTCTAGGACGGGATTTGTTGTCGAAGTTACAAGCACAGATAAGATTTCTGCCTAACGGAACGAAATCCTTGAAGTTTAATGGACCCTCAGGTATAATGACACTATCAGTACCAAAGGAAGAAGAGTGGCGACTTTATAAGGTGATGACAAGTCAAAACCCTAAGAGTGATGAATCCTTGCATAATATACCAGGAGTGTGGGCAGAAAATAACCCACCAGGACTTGCTCGCAATATCCCACCTATACGCATCGAACTAAAGCTTGGGGTTTATCCAGTAAGCCTGCGACAATACCATATACCTCAAAAGGCGAAGAAGAACATACAGTCTTATTTGGATAAGTTCATAAGGTATGGTATCCTAAAATTCTGTACTTCCCCCTGGAATACTCCATTGTTGCCTGTTCAGAAGCCTGGGTCAGATGAGTATCGTCCTGTGCAGGATTTGAGAGCAGTCAATGATGCGGTAGTAAGTATACATCCAGTTGTGCCCAATCCTTATAACCTGCTTGCCTTGATTCCAGGTGGGGCTACTTACTTTACAGTCTTGGACCTTAAAGATGCCTTCTTTTGCCTACAAATTGCTACAGAAAGCCAGTGTATCTTTGCATTCCAATGGGAAGATGCTGTAACGGGCTCGAAACGTCAGATGACCTGGACAAGATTGCCCCAAGGGTTTAAAAATTCACCTACCCTATTTGGATCAGCATTAAGTCAGGACTTATTAGATTTCAAGTCCATCCCAGGAGAATGTGTACTACTACAATACGTGGATGATTTGTTGATAGCGGCAGTTACTAAAGAGATATGCCAGCAAGCAACTTATGATTTACTGCACATTCTTTGGAAGGCAGGATACAAGGTGTCCAGGAAGAAAGCTCAGTTGTGTCAGCCAACTGTCAAGTATCTGGGATTCCATATCTCTGAAGGTCAAAGGATAATGGGGCCTGAAAGAAAAGAGGCTGTATGCCAAATACCAACACCTAAGAACAGAAGACAAGTGCGAGAATTCTTGGGGGCAGCAGGCTTCTGTAGGATATGGATTCCCAGTTATGCGATACTGGCGAAACCCCTCTATGCCGCTATTAAAGGCACGGAACATGATTCCTTCCTGTGGACCATCGAACAGCAGAAGGCATTTGAGGATGTTAAGAAGGCATTGATGAGCGCCCCCGCATTAGGTCTACCTGATCATACACGTCCATTCTACTTATATGTACACGAGCAAAGAAGGATGGCTGTGGGAGTACTGACACAGTATCTGGGATCATGGCAACGACCTGTTGCGTATATGTCCAAACAACTGGATGCAGTAGCCAGTGGTCTTCCTCCTTGTCTAAGGGCCGTAGCTGCCGCCGCCCTGTTGGTAGCAGAAGCTGACAAGCTCACTCTGGGTCAGGAACTCTATGTGCGAGTCCCGCACGCAGTACAGACGTTGCTAGACTATAAAGGTAATCATTGGTTTAGCAATAGCCGAATGACTAAATATCAAGCCATGCTATGTGAAACTGTTAATACCCTGAATCCAGCTACCCTTTTGCCACAATGTAATGAAAGTAAACATGATTGTTTGGAGATAATGGATGAGGTGTTTTTCAAGCCAACCGGACCTTCATGACTTTCCCATTCAGGACCCGGATGTACAGTATTATACGGATGGTAGTAGCTATGTGAAAGAAGTAATTACCCGGCGGCAGGTTGTAGAGTTGGGTAAAACTATGGAGGAGGTACAGAAATGGGTACAAGATAGGTTACCTGTAAATATTTATCCACCTGTCCATTCTTACCATCCAGGAGACCAAGTTTGGATAAAGGAGTGGAACAGTGTACCGTTGGGGCCAAAGTGGAGGGGTCCTTATGCTGTTCTTTTGTCTACTCCAACAGCTATAAAGGTGGCAGAGGTGACTCCATGGATTCATCACTCCAGGGTTAAACCAGCAGCAGATTCTTGGCAAGCTACTGAGAATCCCTGCAAGATCCGGTTGAAGCGAGTGACCCAGTTAGATTAAAAGTGGTTTTTGCGAAGAGTATTGTTACAAGGGAACATCAACAAAGATCTACAAGTAGGTGTTTTGACGGCCACAATAAAGCCTGACCACCTACCAATGTTTAAGCCAGAGGAATCCTCTGTGAAGAACAGTAAGGATCAGAAGGACTCCATTCCCTGCAGCCCTCACACGCCTGGAAGCTGAGGTGCCGTCGCACGGTCGAAGAATTAGGAAGAAGATGTCAGGAGTAATGTGTTTGATGATGTATATATGTGTGTTTTTAATTATTCAGGAAGGTAGAGGTACCGACACACCAGGCTGCGAGGTTTGCATTAAGACTACGAAAACAGGCAATCGTATTTCCCAGACCCTTATTTGGCATTCGCAATATGAGTGCACAGGACATGTATCAAAGTGTAGATACCTAGGTACAGATTATAGTGTATGCCATATAGGAGCAGGAGAACCTAGGTGTTTTAATCCTGAGTATCAGCCCCGTACAATTTGGTTGACTATTCGGAATGAGAACGCACAGGGGAACCTGATAAATAAGACTGTACTAGAAAGCGTACATTCTCCAGGTGTTTTGCTATTTGATGCATGTAAGGCGATATCAGGTAGTAGGAAGCCATGGAATGTATGTGGTGGTCTTAAATGGGAAAGAACGTATGGGTCTAATGATAAGTATATTTGTCCTAGTAATAAGCATAAGTATATAGATCCAAACTGCCTAAATAAAGACTACAATTATTGTCCGTATTGGTCCTGTGTGGGATGGGCAACCTGGGGACAGACAGTAGATAAGGATATGATTATCACTAGATTGACTACCAAGCCATATTGTAAGTCTATGGAGTGTAACCCAGTCCATATACTTATCAAGGACCCAGAGCTATTTATAGATAAGTTTGGGAATCTATTTGGGTTCCAAATATATGGAACAGGTTTGGATCCTGGGACGATATTATACATAGGAATAGAGACAGATACAGTGGCCCCCAGACTCATCAGGTTTTCCATTCTTTTTATGAGGAGATGAGTGTGGAAGATAAGGTTCCCCATAATGCCAAAAACGTATTCATAGACCTAGCTGAGAGCATTGCTGGTAGTCTTAATGTAACCAACTGCTATGTGTGTGGAGGTACTAATATGGGAGACCAATGGCCTTAGGAAGCAAAGGAGGTAATGTATTCTGGTTCTGAGACAGTTGAACAACTAATATCTTCTCAATCTGATTATCAAGTGAGTGTTAGAGGTAAATCTGAGTGGCGATTAAAGACCTCCATTATAGGTTATGTTTGTATAGAAAGGAAATAAATAATGTTTAATACATCTGTAGGAGAATTGACTTGTTTAGGGCAGAAAGCCTATAATGACGATACAAAGGATACTATTTGGTGGTCAGCTTCAAATGTCTCAGAACTGTCTAATCCGTTTGCAAATTATACCAATTTAAAGGATGTATGGTTTGACCTATCTGCTACATCTAGTTGGAAAGCCCCAGCAAATTTGTACTGGATTTGTGGTAAGAAAGCATATTCGGAGTTACCACAGGACTGGGAAGGGGTATGTGTATTGGGTATGCTCAAACCATCCTTCTTCTTGTTGCCAACTGAAACAGGAGAGACTTTGGGAGTTAAAGTATATGATGTAAATCATAGGAAGAAAAGGGCACCCCTAGAGATAGGTACCTGGGAAGATGATGAGTGACCTCCCCAGCGTATTATAGATTATTATGGGCCAGCTACGTGGGCAGAGGATGGTACTTATGGATACAGAACCCCAATATATATGCTTAATCGTATTATAAGATTGCAAGCAGTAGTTACAGATGAAACATCACAAGCGCTCAATCTCCTAGCGAAGCATAACACTAGGATGAGGACAGCCATCTACCAAAATAGATTAGTTTTGGATTACCTATTGGCAGTAGAGGGAGGTGTATGTGGGAAGTTTAATCTAAGCAATTGTTGTCTTCAAATAGATGATGAAGGGCAAGCAATAGCTGAGCTTACTAGCCATATGGTTAAGCTAGCACATGTACCTACTCAGGTATGGAAAGGGTATAATCCGAGTAGTTGGTTTGGTAGTTGGTATGAGCAGTTTGGAGGAATCAAGGCATTGGTAGGTGGAGTCATACTGATTTTTGATGTTGTGTCTCCTTCTGCCATGTCTGATTCCTTTGGTAATTAGGTCTATGCAGAGCATTATAGAAAGTATAGCAGAAAGAAAGGCCGCAGCACAGGTAATGGCTGTTTGCAGGTATGAAGCTCTAGATCAAGGAGAATACATGCAGGAAGAAGGAATGTTGAGGGGTTCGTATCTTTAGAGGATCGCAAAGTCTAGTCTGGTTTATGGCAACTTGAGGTGTAAGCAAACTATGATTGGTGATGCATCTGGAATTATTTTAAATCAGAAGCATCAAAGGGGGGAATGTGATGGAATTCCAGTAAAATAAAAGTTTAGCAGGCCAAGATTGCCACAAGGCATATGTAGGTACATGTGTTTGTAGTATCAGTTAGTTAGTTACACGTAGCTAAGATACTGTCATCACTGTACTGAGCATGTGCAGGAATGCAGGAACTGGAATTACGCGTCCCTCTCCTTTGTTTCAGATGAGCCACGTGGTTAGACCGGATGGATGAGTTTAGACTCTATTCATTGATTAGGTTAAGGGTATGTGTGGGCGTAGCTAATTATGGGAGGAGCTACAGTGCTATATAAGGAATGTACTTTATGTATTCAGTGCTCAGATCTTTGCTGTTTTTGGTGACATAAGTCCCTCTGAGTCCCGGTCGGTGAATCGAATAAAGATCTCTTCCTTCCTGAAGAAACCTGTGTCCATCTCTCTGTGCTTGGCCTCCGTCAGTTTCCCGGTAACCACACCACAATATAAACAGCTTTGTTAAACATATTTAAGTACAAGAAATATACAGAATCCGTTTATAACAGGCAGTTTTAGCATAAGTGCAAAGTTGTTGTTTTTTGGGGATTTATTATTGCCCAAGAAATCTCAGAACATATTCAGAATTTTTGAGAGCAGCAAGTATAGATAGCAGATTGCAATGGACACCAATACAATATTGCTTTACCGATTGAGGTCAGAGCTTTAAAGAATAAATAAATAAATGTTCTATAGCTCGCTAGACCACTGGCTTTTAATGAACAGTTTGCACGACACTTATAAAATAGTTTGTTATACTGCACATTATAGCTGTGACAACATAATATACAGGGTAAAAATGCTATTTCACTGTTTAATAGACTTACCTAGTATTTAAGGACGACATGTTTCTTGCAAAGTCATCGGGACTTTGAGGGAGGTTCTAACTAAGTTTAATTAATTAACTTACTAAAGAAAAAGAAAAAAGAAGAGGTTTTGTTTTTCCCCTGCAAGTGAGTTTTCAGCGCAAGGTCATTTTGTGTTCACAGACTATTCGGATTTTAAAAAAAGCTGTTCTTTATCTCACATTATGAACAGCCTTGTAATTCCTATGCACACTAAAAGTTGGCTTTTAAAGTTATTGTTTTAATTTTACTATTTCATAGTTAATACAGAGGATAAAGTAATTTAAAGAAAATATATTGAAAGTATGTTAATTGATAGGATTTCAATGATCTATTTTGGTCCACTGTTCACTGATCTCGAATCTCAGTCTGGTGTTCAAACAATTTTTCTTACGATACGTCGTGAGTTTATATCCACAACTGCATTTTGCTTTGTGGTAACAAATTGAAAGCCTGGCATTGTAATACGTGTATGGACATGCTTATAACAAAGCATGGTCCCTCTCCTCATCTAGTTGGTCCTTAACAGGCACTTTGATGCAATGTGTCTACCAACGCTTTTCTGTTGTCATTGGATCACAAAAGCATACCCTATCTCTCAGTCATGATGCAGAGTTTATGCTTCAAGGATATCCAGACCTTATCCACCTGGTATCCGCATAAATACTCCTATCGTTTAGAGGGGTTAATTACATAATAACCATTGAAGGTAATATGTTGGTTGTTCTTCCTATAGAGGAAAGATAGACTTGCCCTAAAAGCTTTTTTATGGCTAGGACAAGCTCTTATAGAGAGAGGTAATGTACTTCTGACTCCTGAAAAGGAATATTGGTGGTCCAATATGGGAAATTCTGTAATTCATGTGTTTACTAATCATAAGCATTTGCTTATTGCCACATTACTGATGTACTGTTTATTGAAATATTAATATCTAACATACTTTTTGAATTACTATATATTGGAAGTTTGCCAACATCTCATGTTTATAAATATGTTTTTGTATGTGTTGGTGCATGTACCAGGTTTACTTGGATATATCCTGTGTGAAGTGCAACCTCTGATGCCATGTTTTCTAGTCTCACTTCCTTAGTATGCATTTGATAATCCAAGGACCATCCATTTGGATGGTGGTCCTGCAGTTACTGCAAAGGAAACCTAAAACTGGGCAACCACATTTGGGTTACTTTGGGATTTCAGTGCCCCAACCACCCCAAAAGAAGTGGGGTTGTGGTCTGAAAATGCTGAGGTTAAATGATTATTAACCAAGTTACTAGTTGCTTGCCCCACACAGTGGTATCTATTTATTCCTATGGTACAGATAAGCATTCACAACATGCCTAATGATACAAATGGTGAGACACCATATGAAATGTTACATGTTTTTTCACTGACAATTATATTTCTGCACCAGGTAGAGCTTAGAACCATTGGTTCTATTAGAGAAATGTAGGTATTTTTTTTTCCAGCCCACCTCGCACCACCAACTTTTTCTTACTGTTGGCCAGTTTGTCCTGGAGAGGGTGACTCCGAGAACTTTTACTACAGAGAACAATCAGAGCCAACAGCGAACAGTAAGTTTTGATATTTTACAACCTCCTAAATACTAACAGGACGTTCACAGAACCACTGACTGACACAATGGATGCTGTTAAAGATGGCAAGATAAAACAAACAGAGGACGACAGAAATGCCACCAGAACACAGCCACCAGAATCATAGCCACGTAACAGACTGAATCATGATCTGACATCTGAACCTGCAAATGTGAAGGAGAAGGATGAACAGACAGACGTGATACATTCACAGTTAACATGGAATGTATGAAAAATGAATCATCAACATCATTATAAGAAAGACTCTGGAGAAAACAGACTGAACCTGAATTATCTTATACAGTAAGAAAGAAATGCAAATATGGAAGCAAAAGGATGCTAGAAAATTGGTTATGGTGTCTCCTTCTTACAGTCTGCAGCATTATCATAACATCAACCCTAGCTGTCGTTTTAAAACTGCATTGGGATTATGTTAAAAAGCAGGACTATATAACACACTATACAAGTTCTTTGATCGTGAGGACTACCTCCAAGAACTATCTCAAAAGGAGAGACATAGCGCACAGTGAAATGATTGCTAATGTGACCTACACTGGTATTTCACAAGGAACCTATTGAGATCATTCCAAAAACCGATTATACCTGAGAAAGATGTGATTGAACTATTACAAATCCTAATAATGGACTCAACGATGATGGCAAAGCATGCTGAAAACAGAAAAAGACGAGACAGATGCTTGTGAAAGACTTTGAATGCACCTATGAAGGTGATTAAGAAAATACTTTGCCATATAGTTTATCATTGAGTAACTACCGCAAACAGTCTTCTTATGCTGAAAAGAAGTGCTATGCTAATTCTGGACATTGCTATTATGTTTCCAGACAGAAGATGACAGGAAAAAGAAATAAAGGCTGATAACTGTCAACACCCAGCTGTTTCTCAAGATGGAACAGGGTACTGAGAAAACCTGATTGACTATCAAAGCACCTCACAGTACAAGACACAGACTGTTGCCTACAACTCAGAAAAAGTGGTTAATAGGAAGGAGCAGAAGAAGAGGAACATAGATTTCCTAGTGGAGTGAAAAACCATCTTGGAACAATATTCTGTAACAATGAACTTTACTATGACATTTGGTGGCATATGAATTTGAATTCAGAAGAAACACATCAATTAACGAAAGAAACCTTGATGCAATTAATAAATAATAACAAGACCGGCTTAATAAGAGCAGATGCCCTGTCAAGAGAATGGAATATAAAAAGGCCAGCAAAATCTTTCAGAAACCTGACATCATGGGACACTTGTATTAAAGCACGATTTGCAGCTTTTCTTAACCCCTTAGCGACCGAGGACGGTTCAGGACCGTCATCGGCATTTTTGCCTTGAGGACCGATGACGGTCCTGAACCGTCCTAACGGTCTGGGGGTACTTACCTGATCGCCGTCGTTCCCCTGGCGGCGATCAGCGTGGCTCCGGTTGTGGGGAGACTGCCTGCAGCCCAGACAGTCTCCGCACACTGATTTAGGACCCCTGTGGCCATGTGATTGCTTAACACAGCGATCACATGGTCACAATAGGTGTCCATAGTGCTGCCTGCAGGGGGACTGCCTGTGCTGACAGGCAGTCTCCCTGCTAGTGTAAAATAAAAAGAAAAAATAAAGTTAGTGTTAATAAAAAATTTTTTAAAAATTATATATGTGTATAAATATGATATATAGACACATATAATATATGTCTATCTATCATATATATAATGTCATACTAAGTGTATTTTTATATTAATATGTACTTATATTAATATAAAAATACACTTATAATTAAATTACGCACGTATATATATAATATATATAATAACTATATATATTGTATATATATATTATTATAAAATATAAATAATAAGTAATTTAAATTAAATAAAAAATTTTTAAAATAATAATAAAAAAATAAAAAAAATTTATATATCTATATGAAATTTTATTCTAACTGTATTTTAAAATTAATATATATATATTTATATCAAAATACACTTAGAATGAATTTGTATATATATCTATGTATATAAAAATAAATAAAAATAATAAGAAATATACATATGTCCATATACAAAATTACATAAATAATTATATAAATATACACGTAGACTTCAAATATATAAATATGCATATATATTTAAATTCTACGTGCGTATTTATGTAATATTTTTACATAATTCAGTAATTTTATTGATTGCAATTTGAGGGACCTGCCTGCCAACCCAGGCCGAAATTCCAGAGAATTGAATTTGCTAGCACTGTATTTTACCCTGTAACGTTCTACGACACCCTAAAACCTGTACATGGGGGGTACTGTTTTACTCGGGAGACTTCGCTGAACACAAATATTAGTGATTCAAAACAGTAAAACATATCACAGCGATGATATTGTCAGTGAAAGTGACTTTTTTTGCATTTTTCACACACAAACAGCACTGATGATATAATTGTTGTGATACGTTTTCCAGTTTTTAAACACTAATATTTGTGTTCAGCGAAGTCTCCTGAGTAAAACAGTACCCCCCATGTACAGGTTTTATAGCATTTTTGAACGTTACAAGGTCAAATATATGGGTCAAATATTTTTACATTGAAAATGGCCAGGTTGGTTACGTTGCCTTTGAGAGCGTATGGTAGCCCAGGAATGAGAATTACCCCCATGATGGCATACCATTTGCAAAAGAAGACAACCCAAGGTATTGCAAATGGGGTATGTCCAGTCTTTTTTAGTAACCACTTGGTCACAAACACTGGCCAAAATTAGCGTTCAATTTAGTTTTTTTACTTTTTTCACACACAAACAAATATGAATGCTTACTTTGGCCAGTGTTTTCGACTAAGTGGCTACTAAAAAAGACTGGACATACCCCATATTGAATACCCTGGGTTGTCTACTTTAAAAAATATGTACATGTGGGGTGTTATTCAGAGATTTATGACAGATAATAGTGTTACAATGTCACTATTGATAAATTTAAAAAATTTATGTTTTGAAACCGCAATATTCTACTTGTACCTATAGCCCTATAACATGCAAAAAAAAGCAAAAAAGCATGTAAACACGGGGTATTTTTAAACTGAGGACAAAATTTTGAATCTATTTAGCAGTTTTTTTAATTCGCTTTTGTAGATGAGTAAAAGATTTTTCAAGTAAAAGTCAAAAAACATGTATTTTTTTCGATTTTTCATTATATTTTTTTATTTTTTTTAAATTAAAATACATGAGATTATATAAATAATGGTATGTAAAGAAAGCCCCTTTTGTCCTGAAAAAAACAATATATAATTTGTATGGGAACAGTAAATGAGAGAGCGGAAAATTCCAGCCAAACACAAACACCACAAAAGTGTAAAAATATGCCTGGTCGCAAATGTACAACATCGCAAAAACAGTCCAGTCCTTAAGGGGTTAAACTCTACATATTATGTACATACCTGCAAAGCAAGGAACTCCTGTAAACATAAACACAGAGACATTGATACAACAAAGAATCTGTAATGGTTCTGTTGCAGATGTGATCTACCGATGTATTCCTTGCTCTTTTGGTATAACTATACCAATCAAAACGTTAAATGGCTCCATAGAATCAAACGACAAAGCATTCTTGCTATATTCTGGACTTCCAGGAATGTGGTGCATTGACTGAAAATTATAATTACTAAAGCAATCATGCTATTTTTTTCCCTGTATCATAAATGTGTCAGTGACAATGTGTAATATAATACAGATACTATAATTAATGGTATAAAATAAACACATAATGTGTTAATTACAAAGGTGGATAGACTTTGTGAATATCTGAAACGCAACTGAAGATTATTGCTAAAATGCCATATGCAGCTACAGTCTGGCCTACAAACAAATATATTAGACAAAGTATAAGAGCATACTAGCTAATTACCCAGATGAATAATTGAATCATGATACTTAAAGATCATATGATTACAATAACAACTGCAATAATGAATGTTTCAACCTTCAAAGAAAATGTTTTTATTAAATCAGAAACTACTTGATATTTGTTTAAGTTTGCAGAGTGGTATAATTAATATAAGTGAAGTACTTCAACAGTTAAAATTTAACTGAAAGACAGGCAGAAACGTCACTTCACTTATCACAAACCTATATTTATAACGATAAAAATATTCAGTCTGCCAGAGCTAAGGCCAGTCAATGGAAAGTAAAAGAGTATTATGGATTAACCCGTCCAGGTGATATACATGATGATTTTGGAAATTGATAATTTAGGTCACCTATTGCAAACTGGTGAAAAGATGTCAAAGATATAAATTCAACATCCATACCACTCTATGTATATATATTAAAATACATGTAATCAAATATTTTATTGTTTTTTTCAAATACCAAGAAAATATTTGGTTTGTGATGGTTACTATACAAAGATAGAGCTAACATAAATACCTTCAATATTGTATCTGAGTGCTTTTTTTAACTCACTTTTAGAAATAATAAATATTCAAATCATCTTAAGTTACACCCAACAGCCACTGGTAAATATACTTAAACAATTAGGATTCTCATTGTTAAGCATCCAATCTCACGAACGTAACTTTCCACAATGGCTGTCAGATCTTGGTAAAAAAATTTAAAAAAGTTTTCTAAGGCAATTTTTAGGGGTTTCTGGTATTTTAAGCCACTAATAACTGTAGTTATTATATTTACTAATAATAACTAGGGAATAAGTTGTTTTCTCCCTAACAGGTCAAAGAAAGATAATTAACGTCATATTTCCAATTAGCAGAGAGATTTTGAATAAAAGAGTATTTTTAACATTTAAAGAGAATGTAATTTTACATACCATTGTGAACAAAGGCGGTAAATACTTTGCTGCTTCAAATTATCCTTATATCTCTAAATCATATACAATGGTTTTTATCTTTAAAACAAAAACACTAGAAAGATTAACTATGTTACTATTTCATCTATCATTATTATACAAAGTATAACAAATGTAAAGATCTTTCCACAGATTTTACCTGTTAACATTTTTAGCACAACAGCACCTGATGTCAGTGAGATGTCTATCACTGAGATGTTACAAAGATTCCAATACAGCAAAAAGAGGCGTTCTTGAGAATCCACTTCGATTGCTGTATCAACATAACATTTACTATAATGGGATCCATGTCACTTAAAACAATGTCTTGGAAATGCTGTCAATTAATATATTCCGTAAAAGAATATCGGAGAGTATCCAATCTATACACATCATAAACGGTGTAAAAATGTTTCATGGAAAAAAAAAATAAAAAAAAGCAAAGACAAAGACAAATACCAACGCCATCACCACGGTGATAACAGATGATGCAGATTCAATATCTGCAACCAATTCTAGCCAAATACTTGGATAGCTGGACTCTACAATCTATACTCTACAACATATACCCGGGTATTCTACAAACACAACCTCCAGCAATGTATCTAAGAAATGTAAACTTCTACAGGTCTTTAAAGATTTTGGATTACAAATACAATTACTACTTTTAATTTTGGATTACAATCTGCATCCGGATCCATCCAAAAATATCTTACTCTGGAACTTGGTGTTCTTTTCAATTCTTTCCCAAAGAATCAACCACCTTTACATGCAAAGATCACACTACGGATATTTTACTGTTACAACAATGATCAAAGATGCTGGGAGCACAAAAAAAGTGCCTCCATGTCCATTTTGCTTGGGGCCCCCAAATTCCTTCAAACGGCCCTAACCAGGCCTATAAGCGATGATATAATTGAAACAGGAAAGAAATAGAGACCATCTAGCCTGTCTGGATGACATTCTTTTAGCCTCCTCTATATATTCCATGATGATCTTTGGATCCTTACACTAGATGTCTCCATTCTTTATGTGCCAATATGATAGCCAATAGATCTCTGTTACCTATATCATAATTTCTTTCCGCTAGTGATAGATTTTTAGAAAATAAGCCACATGGGTGCAGGGGTTTGTCATGACTTTCTCTCTGGGACAGTATAGAACCAACCCTTGTTTCACAGGCATCCACTTCTAATATGAAAGATCTGCTGGGATCAGAATGAGCAAGTATAGGGGCTGAAGCAACTGAAGCCTTGAGTTGTTCAAAGGCATTAATGGCTTCTTTAGGCCATAATGTACCTTTAACCGTCTTATGTGTCAAATTGGTGATTGGGACTATTATCGTAGAAATGTTTTTAATAAATCTACGATAATAATTGGAAAACCCAATTAACCTTTGTATAGCCTTTAAACCATGAGGTAGAGGCCTTTGCAACACTGCCTCTAGTTCCTTGGGATCCATCTTGAATCCTGAGGCAGATATCGTATTTTCAAGAAATTGTACCTCTTTCTGATCAAATAGAGATTTTTCTAGAAACTCATTCTTGAGTAAGGTCTGTAGAACTAGTTTAACTTGTACATGGTGAATATGTATCTCAGGTAAGTATATCAGTACATCATCTAGATATACTAACACG